CGTTACCTCCCCTCCAGATCTCTACTCTACTCTACAGGATCAGTGGTCGGCCGGGACGTCTCCTAGCCTTTTACCCGTCTGCCACCCGGGCCACTGTCCTCTACACTAATTGAACTAAACTATGCATCGTGGTTCAGGTGAATAACTCCGCCATTTTGGGGCACACGCGGTTTGTAGCGAACCCTGGGTTAGGAGCTAAGCTCCTGAGCCATGATGACTAACTAGGCACCGAATGAAACTGACTCCGCTCAATTTCCGTTCTCCTCCGACTCATCCCATTTCCAAAAGCTTCTGGTCAATTCATACCCACATATATTATCAAAGCCGAACATCATGAAAGGACTGCTAGAGAGATGACGATATAATTTCCGCGTACTACCCTACCAATACCCTAACGACAATCGACGCGCGAATCTACCTATTCCTCCACCCAGGTGCTCCTATCCTAGCTAAGGGATGTCCGTGAGCCCGCGACAATCCCTGCGTGACGGGAACCTACCTCGAGCCAGGAGAGCCAGCAGCAGAAGAGTAGTCGGGCACAGCGCAGCACAGCACTTCGGCAGGCCAACACTGAGCCCCGACTCCTCCTCTCGCTGTGCTTATGTACCGGGCTCGAGGTGGAAACGCCCCCCGTCCGCCGGCCCGAGGCTAAGGCCGACCAACCGGGGCGCTTGGTTACCGTCACGCTGACCTCCCTCGACGCGGACGCGAGCACAACGGAGGAACAAACGGACGAACAACGTTCACATTAATACCTACATCCCTACAATTTCTACAAGCATACGTTTACATTAATACGAAATTCCTACATCCCTACATAAGGAACAAACGGACGAACAACGTTCACATTAATACGAAATTCCTACATCCCTACAATTTCTACGAGCATATGTTCACATTAATACGAAATTCCTACATCCCTACAATTTCTACATTTCTACAGCATACGTTTACATTAATGCGAAATTCCAATACGAAATTCCTACATCCCTACAACGCTAGCTGTTTTGTCACTAGCTGTTTTGAGGCACTAGCTGTTTTGTACTAGTTCAAAAGTCACTAGCTCAAATGTCACTAGCTATTCTGACGTGCACCCTTTATCATGGCTCCGGCTCCGGTCTAACGGGCCGCTCCGCCGTGGTCCGATCGGGCAGGACGGGGGCGGGGCGAGAAGAGCCCACAGGGACAGCCGTAGGGGCCGCCACCGGGCCCCGGAACGAACGGGGAGCACCTGATTACACTATGTACAGTGAGCGAACCTGTGACGCATCGCGTGCTGCTCACCTCTGAGGATGAATAACCCATGAAGGGGTGTGTGCCATGTACACACCCCTTGTATGTGCTATAGATCGCTTACTTTACATCGCTTCGTTGCACAAGCTGCTTCTGCGTCACAATGTTTATGGCAAGAATGCCAGGCATTATTTTAACATTTGAAATATGTAATAAGGAACACTGAACAGGCTTAAGACATGCTGCTCTTTTAGAATATCTAATGGCTGAGCATGTTCAGTCCACAGAGTTTTATCATAGGATAACAGGTCACATATAAATGGGAAAGGCAATGGGAACGTGTTGTTTTTATATTAAAATTGGTTACACATGTGTTTCGGGAATAATCCCTTGATCACACCATATAAAAGTAGCTATATCCAAATACAATCGAGGTCGAACGGGGTCGAATGGGGACGTTCACAGACACTCACAGATTAACAATTCTATACATGACTGAAAACGTTACACTGCTTTTCGCCCGGAACCCCTACTTCCTGAAATCATTTTTCAAAATTAATTGAGCAGTGTGCTTGCTGAGTTTTACTTTACCCGAATTCCCATTGAAATTACTAATCGTAGAAATAAACGCTGCTTCCACCGCCTGTCGGTTACGCTTATTTAATCCCACGCATAAGTTTGACATCGCCGACCAGTTTGGCAAATGCCCCGCGTCATCCACATGCTGCACTATGGCGTTAGATTCTTGGTGATTCCGCAGATCTCTTTTGTGTTCCTCTACCCGTTTGGCTGCACCCCTGTATGTTTCCCCTATGTAGCTTTTCTCACAAACGCCACATGGAATTTTATAAACCACACTGTTTTGGTTGCTTGCTTTCTTCTTGCGCCGTAAAATATCCTTAATTGTTGAACCCGATGGAGATGTAATGTTTAAGGCTCCCCTGGTAAAGCTTGTGATCACTTCAGATTGTTCTGACAGAGGTACTGATATATATTCCTTTCTTTTCGTGGCATTTGAATTCGAGGATCTTGAGCGGATTTTTATAGCTTTCTTTTGTAGCTGAAGGAGAAGACCCAAAGGGTAGCTGAGTTTGGTAAAAGTTGTCCTAATGTACTCTAGCTCGTTCTGTAAATATTCCTTTGAACAGATGCGAAACGCTCTGAGATAAAATCCCAAAACTACTCCAGTCTTCGTTCTTTGACTGTGCGACGAATAAAAATGGATAAAGTCATTCTTGTTGGTCGGTTTCCGGTATACGGAAAACATCAGTCTTGATTCTCGGTTCCAAATCAGTGTGTCTAAGAAAGGGAGCTTGCCATCTTGTTCTTGTTCGCAGGTGAACTGTATTTTCGGGTGCACGTCGTTGAGCTTTCGAAGAACACTGTCTAAATCTTGTTGCTTGTTCACTATAACCAGAATGTCATCCACGTACCTTAGCCATGTGGTGCTTTGACCGACGATGTTCAGAAAATGATCCGTTTGAACATCGTCGGTCAAAGCACCACATGGCTAAGGTACGTGGATGACATTCTGGTTATAGTGAACAAGCAACAAGATTTAGACAGTGTTCTTCGAAAGCTCAACGACGTGCACCCGAAAATACAGTTCACCTGCGAACAAGAACAAGATGGCAAGCTCCCTTTCTTAGACACACTGATTTGGAACCGAGAATCAAGACTGATGTTTTCCGTATACCGGAAACCGACCAACAAGAATGACTTTATCCATTTTTATTCGTCGCACAGTCAAAGAACGAAGACTGGAGTAGTTTTGGGATTTTATCTCAGAGCGTTTCGCATCTGTTCAAAGGAATATTTACAGAACGAGCTAGAGTACATTAGGACAACTTTTACCAAACTCAGCTACCCTTTGGGTCTTCTCCTTCAGCTACAAAAGAAAGCTATAAAAATCCGCTCAAGATCCTCGAATTCAAATGCCACGAAAAGAAAGGAATATATATCAGTACCTCTGTCAGAACAATCTGAAGTGATCACAAGCTTTACCAGGGGAGCCTTAAACATTACATCTCCATCGGGTTCAACAATTAAGGATATTTTACGGCGCAAGAAGAAAGCAAGCAACCAAAACAGTGTGGTTTATAAAATTCCATGTGGCGTTTGTGAGAAAAGCTACATAGGGGAAACATACAGGGGTGCAGCCAAACGGGTAGAGGAACACAAAAGAGATCTGCGGAATCACCAAGAATCTAACGCCATAGTGCAGCATGTGGATGACGCGGGGCATTTGCCAAACTGGTCGGCGATGTCAAACTTATGCGTGGGATTAAATAAGCGTAACCGACAGGCGGTGGAAGCAGCGTTTATTTCTACGATTAGTAATTTCAATGGGAATTCGGGTAAAGTAAAACTCAGCAAGCACACTGCTCAATTAATTTTGAAAAATGATTTCAGGAAGTAGGGGTTCCGGGCGAAAAGCAGTGTAACGTTTTCAGTCATGTATAGAATTGTTAATCTGTGAGTGTCTGTGAACGTCCCCATTCGACCCCGTTCGACCTCGATTGTATTTGGATATAGCTACTTTTATATGGTGTGATCAAGGGATTATTCCCGAAACACATGTGTAACCAATTTTAATATAAAAACAACACGTTCCCATTGCCTTTCCCATTTATATCAATACGTCTATGTAATAATAATAACAGGTCACGTCGCCTGTGCTCGCGGCCTTCTATCTGAGCTCTTCCACGGGGCGCTCTTCCACGGGGCGTCTACAAAGTCCCTCGGGTAGTTTCGGGGACCGCCTCGACCGTACCGTAGCTCTGTGGAAGTTTCGGTGGTCGCTGGCATTGCGTCATACGACGCAGCATCGATCTGCGCGAGTGGTGGCGGCAATGACGGCGACGGTTGAGCGACACTGACGGCGACAGTTGGGCGACCGCACGATGAGAGTTGAGCGACAGCGGCAGGATGGCAGCAGGCGAGGTCTGGGTGTCCGTGCAGCCTGAAAACATACTGACGCCCATTAGGGAGTAGATGCAGATTGCAGGTGCCTTCTGAGTCTGTTTTCAAGACTTATTGCTACTTGGTACAGGCACACATCGGTCGATCTTCTTCCACTGAGCCCCATATCTTTAATGGGTCAGAAACAGGTAAACAACTGCATAAGACGCCGGAGAAAGAAATGTTCGTGAATGGAGTGTGTCAGTTGACGGCAGCGACTCGGCGCTCACTTCCTGTAGATTATGACAAGGTAGACTGTAAGTAAGTCAAATTAGTATTCATGTGCCCACACTGAAGGTTACCTAGCTATCGTACGGTGGTCGATAGCTTACGTTTATGATCTCATTCGTAAGCTGAACGCTACTTTCGTGTGATACTGTCTCAGCCTGCAGTCTCAGCTATCTCAATCACATTTGCACCTGGTCTGACGATGTTGACTTTGGCCCTAGCGCACCTAAACACAGGGTGTTTAAGAAGCGGGGAAAGGTATACGGTGGCTACCGCAAGACAAATGAAGCGAAACGTACCCTGCACTTTCCATGTGCACGTTGTGCAGGGCACCATTATTTTATAATGCTGTGTATAACGCCGGTCCTTGTATAAACCCGGAGGTGGCTCGCACGTCGATTGCAGTTCTCGTCGCTCGTTGTTCTGCGGTCTGTGGTCTCAGTCACGGCTTTCAGAGCTGCTCGAGCGGCAGTTCGGGCGCGATGTCGGTACAGACGCCAGGGGACCGTATAGTTTGGATAGTGTCCGCGGCACCGTATAGGCTCGGCGGCCGTCGCGAATACATGTTTACTCAGACCACTGGCCGCCGGCGCGGTCCGCTCGTCAGTAGCGACCTCCGCGCCCGGTCCGTCGCTGCAGCGTCTGGGGACGGTACACAGACGGGCGTCCCAGCACGCTCCGACCGACCCGCCGCGCCGGCAGGCGGTCAGTTCAACCGCCGGCAGTCAGTCCGACCGGCTGGCCTTGTGACGCCGTGTTGACGCTTCAGCCGCGAGCTATCGTGCAGGGGCCGGATCGGCAGCGGTCCCAGCAGCCCGGAGGTGGCAACTGCGCGGAGAGCGTGCGCTGGAGGCCCGCTGGACCTTGTGGGACCTTGTGGAACCGCCGTGTGGACCGGAGGACAGGAGGGACATCTCGTGGAACTGCTGTGTGAAATTATCTGCAGTGGTTGGCGGTGCAAGCAGACGTCCGGGTCTGGTCGCCCCTCAGCGGCGCAGTAGGCCTGCGTGACCGCGCTGTCGGTCCAGCCGTGCCGTGCCGTATATCGGGCACTGATCGGCGGCCGTACCGTGCCGTGTATCGCCGCCGCCCCTCCAGCGCGGCGGCCGCGTGTTCCGGTGAGCGGGCAGCGGCCAGCCGTCGCCGGCAGTGACTGTCACCCGGACCTGCCGGACGCACAGTCTGACGACGGGCGCCGTCTGACGACGCGGCACTCAGAGACCGGAGCTGGGGCTAGAGCTGTGGTGTGACGTGGTGCGGTTCGAGTGTGCTATCCACTGCCGGGCGTCATCGAGGCCGTCAGGGCGCATACGCCACGAGCCAGTTCTTCTGGAAGGTTGGGCGTGGAAAGCAAGTCCTTCGTTCCATTCGGACACAAGCAGTGATCCGGTGCTGCCTGAAGTCTGTGTGGAAGATCACACGTCCTGTTTGACGATTCCGCCACCGGCCGTCGAGAGGACGCCGTGTAGGATCGCTCCGTGCGACTCCTCAGCCCGGTTCGGTCCACGTTATGTCCGAGCTACCGCAGCCGGACCGGCGGATCCCGATGCTGCAGACCGGCTCCCAGACGCCGTCCATCTCCGAGGAGACGGACGAGTCGCTGTCGGACGGCGAGCGGTACGGAGACGACCGGCCGGCCGTCTACACCTTCGTCGAGTGGGTAAGGCACGGCGCACGCGGCCGGTGAGGCCCGGGCGACTGGGAGGCCCCCGAGCTACCATGGTTAGGCGCCGCGTGATTGGTGAGGCCCATAGCGCCGGCGAGGCCCCACGACGTTGATGAGGCCCGCAACCAGTGAGGCCCTTGGCGACTGACTGAGCCCCCGCGATTGGTGAAACCCAGCTGGACCGTCAGTGTCGGGAAGAGATTGCCCAGTGGGAAGCCCCTGCTCGCTAACTAACTACATGCGGGCCTGGTTGGCATAGGTTCTCGTTCTGGGCTCGCAGTAGATTGGCTAAGTTTTCTCGTTTGAGACTCGAGCCATACCGAGTACCAGCTGTGTCCTTAGCAGCTGCAGAGTTGTGGACGACTTGATGACTTTATTTTGATTCATTCTCCGCTCTCCGCGGTCGTGCTTATGCTGACTGTGAATTAGGTAGCGCTGGACTACGTGCCATATGTCGTCCACCAACGTAGATGGATGCCCTCCGTAAGTCCGCAGTGTGGCTCTCTCGAGGGCTCCGGCCGACTGACCGCATCTCAGACAGCGTGTCTTTAGAGGCGGGACGCGCCGACTTTAACAATTCTGGGAGGGTGACGCCGACTTGTGCGAGTCCAGTATGCACCGCGTGACCTCACACGCTCGCCGGTGGTTGTAGGCATTCATTCAGCCGGAACACCGCGCGCTGTCAGAACAGAACACGCTTGCAGCACGTTTTCTGTCCAGCCGCCGCCAGCTGCCGGCTGCGGATCGCTGCTGACCTATCCCGCCCTGTGGGCCTATACGACTCAGGGCACGGGCCGCCGGGCGCCGTGCCTAATTGTTTGTCGGGGCGGCGTGTTATAGGTACGGCGCTGATTGGGCGGTCCAATTACCGGTGTTGACTGTCGCGGTGACCAGACGGCCCCGTCGGTGAGTGCCGTGGGGGCGTGCGGCGCCGCTCAGGCCGCTGTGCCGCGGTGTACTTCGGCAGCGCACACCGAGCTGCATGCCAAACAGGGAGGTCGACAGAGCGCCTTCGGTAGCGTCGAGTGGGCTGTACTGCTCGATGATCGGTACATACGGAACAAAGTCATGGACTTCTTATGAGGAACTGAACTCTTAGGACGACTGTTTGCATTTCCTTTGATCGTATGTGAATTGATACAAGTTAAATGCTAAATGACGTTATTCTAACAGGGTATCATTCTTTCTGTTTACAGAAGCACGTAATTGATACCAAGCACTGTGGCCCGCTCACCGTCTACGTTCAGGTAAGGCGAGACTAGCCGGACACTAGCTCTACCTAGTTTTTTACCTTCGATCGGTTTACAAGCTGCTTAGGCAGACTTCCAAATAGAATTGCCTTCCAAATTAACTTAGCACGTTGCTGCTAAGTTAATATGCAAGACTAGGCTCAAAACGCTGCACTATTGTCCGAGACCGTGTGTGCGTCTCGGTAACCCTGCGCTAACCTGATTGTAACCGTTTCAGGGCGATGTGTCACTCCAAGACAAGAAGGCCGTGTTCCTCACAGTTCACGACCTGGGATGTAATCGTGAGTACGCCAGGATTCAGTGTCAGTGAGATAGCTATTCTCGCTGTGCCAATAAGTATTCCTACATATTGCACACCATATACGTACTCACAATATCGCCAGTGTTTTCCACTGGGAGAACTGCACGTTCTATGTATAGCGTCATATTCCCGGCACCCCTGGGTAATGCAGCCCCGTGTTATTGGTCCGGCCAGCTGTGACTCAGTGGACGCGGCACTGCCCTCCAACTGAGGTCTGTCCGGGTCCCAGCGACTCCGGCGACCACCGGCTCGGCCCGGCGGGCCGCTGGGCGCTCAATATGACACGCTATCTGGAAAAACGGTCCGGCAGCCTGCGATGGCGTGTCGGCCGTCTAAAAATGGTCCGGCGCGGTAACCACTCCAACCAGCCGCTACCTCTGCTGGCTGGAACGGCATGGGATCAAAGAGAGATGGCGCCAGGCCTGCGGACTGGATTGCGAAACTATATGAGATATCGTGTCTGCGCTACCGGCTCATCAGTGATGCTGATACTACCCGTTTGATGGCAAAATGGGGCTATCACACGTGCTCACATGGTGACGTGTGATAAGCTGATGGGTGTATTCCGTGCTACCGTTTAGCATATGTTAGCTTCATCACCCATCGATAACGCCTCGGTTGTTATCCGTGGCTCGTAGCGGCTCTAAAGCAGACACGGCAGGGTCAGGCAGCCCAGTCGATCGTTCCAGTGCGCTGGTCTGACCCCGTGACCTGCAGGCATGTCGGATCAATGCGGCCCGCATGCCTGACAGGTTCTGTTCACACCTCACTCTCAGTGGTAGGTCTCTTCCAACGATCCTCGAGTTGTGTGTGAGCTGTGACAGGTAGGCAATTTTTATCGTAGAGGGATGCTCAGATATACCTTCTTCTATTCATCAGTTGTTGGCCATTTCTTGGTCGAGTCGGCTGCTGGTCAGTTATTTTGGCCGGTCACATGTACCACCGCTCGTCTGTGACCGGCCAGATTTTCTGTAGCTCGTCAGCTCCGGTGAGGTGCTCTGACGGACCGCTCGGCTCTCCGTGCCCTGGTCGATAGACGGTGAACCGTTATCGCCATTGATTAAGCTGGCGGCCGACCGGCACTTTGGCCAATAGAGTGGCCACTCCACAGTGCCGGCGTGCAGGTCGTTACCGAGCTGCCCACACGACACCTGCCTACACCTGCCTATATGGCACCTGCCTACAATCAGCAGCGGTATTAGCAGCCCGCAGCGGCGGGGTTTGCGGGAACAGCTACTGTCGCGGCGGGCGCTGCCCCCCGTCCAACTATTGTGTGTTCTCAGGTCCTGCTATCCCGTCATGGCTCATTTTCCTGTGCATTGGATGGGAGGCGTGGCCCCTCGCTTTGTTGGTGTTCTTATGCGAGGTCATAAACTATTGTATATCGAGTAATACAGCAATCTATGGCGAGGTCTTTCGCGCTCTCAGCTCTGACGTTTCTACCCCCCCCCCCCCCCCAACAAAAGCCGGCATAAAGTACCGCCCACAGCGTAGCAAGGGGTTTGAGGAAATTATGCCTCCTCGGTATATCATATGCATTTGACCATGTCACATGTATATAATATATGATATGATTGTGCCGGCTTTTGGCCCGTGTAGGCTGGTTTTCTCGTCCGTTTAGTATTCGATAGATTCACCGTTTCACCGTCATATAAAGGAAACACGCATACCAACCGACATGGTGAATAATATCCATGTATCCTATCGATTATATGGATTGAAGCATTAAGCATTGGATATGAGAGTAACTGCCATCCTTCCTATGGACGAAAATTCTTAAAATGTGTTAGGTGATGTGAAGGATTAAATGTCCAGACTTGACGACGTGAAGATGTAGCTAACCTCCGTTCTAATATGAATAAGTTAAACAAAGCTGTGTATTGTGTCGCCGAGTTGTCATCCCTTTAGAGTCTGAGTCATCGTGTGACCACGGCGCGGACCTGTCCCCCAGACACATCGTTCCACGACTTCGTGGAGCACCCGGTGATGAAGGAGATCAAGGAGCGCTCCATCTTCATCCACGTGGACGTGCCCGGCCAGGAGGATGACGCCATCACCCTGCCCGACGAGTGAGTCCCCTCGCCATCACCCTGCCCGACGAGTGAGTCCCCTCGCCATCACCCTGCCCGACGAGTGAGTCCCCGCCGCCGTCCCCACAGACCGCCCCTCGGACCGGGCGGCGGCCGGCCGACCCGCGGGGTCAGACGCCGCCGGCCGAGATCACTGGAACGGCCCGTCATTAGTTACCGGCCGCCCGCCGCGGCCAAATATTTACCCAGAAATCGTACGGCAGACGTCACTCTGATGACCTGTGTGATATCTGTGTAGGGCAGCTCCTCCCGTAGATGTCATTCTCAATCGTCTACTCTTAGGTGATGTGATGTCAAACTCACACTAGCAGAAAAATGAGCGAGTGTATTCCTTCTGTGTCCTTACAGCTGTTTTGTTGCTCTGTAATAGTTACGTGATCCGTGATGTCTCAAAGTGTCCCCTATGTATCGGGACTATCTGCAGCCATTCCTATTCCGTCAGCCGCCCGCCGTCCTTTCAGACGGTGATCAGTGACCACCCAGTGGCCGACAGTGGTCTCCCCCATCGGAGAACACTGCTGAATCGGCGGCTATCGTCCGTGATGGGATGTGTTCAGGGGTCACGTCTGTACTGTTGAAGTGGTGGAAATATTTCGGGGAACTGACGCTGTATGACTGGCCCATATTTCTGGGGCGAGTGTTACACCGGTCCCTTTATCTAGCCCGCCTTAGGCTCGTTCAATTCACCTGTATAGTGTATATTGACGCTTGTAACCAATCGCATCACCATCCTCACCTGGCCCCGTTTAGCGTGTATCAGTTCGACCTTTGTCAGTGTGGGTTGTTGGATCCATCGTCGCTCGCTCCGCGGTTACCGCCCCCCCCCCCCCCCCTCCTGACACCCCTCTCCCCGCCTCCAGCTTCAAGTTCCCGACGATGCAGCAGCTGGGTGAGGACATGCTGCAGGTGCTGGACACGCTGAAGATCAACATGGTGATCGGCCTGGGCGAGGGCGCCGGCGCCAACATCCTGGCCCGCTTCGGACTGGCCTACCCGGACCGCGTGCTGGGCCTGGTGCTGGTCCACTGCACGTCCACGCGAGCCGGCATCATGGAGTACTTCAGCGACAAGGTGAGCCGCGTGGAGCTCCGCCGTCCCGGCTCGTATAGTGCGCGTCACGCTGTCGGCTGGGGCCCGTAGTACGCCGTCGGACCGAGTAGTACGCTGCACCGGCCGCCGCGGCCGGCAGCCGCAGGGACTAGCCCATCTGCAAACCAGATGCCGTTTATGCATTGTCATTGGATGTACGGGTGCGGACGGTGTGGAATGCGACGCCCTGGCAACCCGTATCTCCGGCCGGCGCCCGCCGAGCGCTGGTGTTTTATAAAACACTGAGCAGCGCGTAATCATCGTTCTGTGCCGGGCGCGGTGCACGACTGCGCCGGCCGACTGTTCATTGATTCCGTCGTCAAAGGAGTTGGCTATTTTTGTGGCGCCGCCGTGCAGTTTGAGGCCGGCCGTGCCGCGGGTGGCTCGGCCGCAGCGTCGGTCGGTCGGTCGGCCCGCCGGTGCCGCCGCCGCTGGCTCCCCGCCAGCTGCCATGCAACATCACGCAGGCTGGGTTGCCGGCGGACGGCCGCGCCAGTTGGCGCTCAGCCAACTGAAGCCGCCGCCGGCAGTCGGGGGGGGGGGGGAGGGGCAGAGGGGGGGGGTGTTGCAGGGGCGTCTCCAGTTCGACCGACAGGCCACAGGGCGAGCTGTCAGCAGTGGACGCCAGGTGGCGGGGCCAGACAGGGTCAAGGCTCGATCACATGTGCAGTTGCACATCGGCAACGTGCTGCTAGCCTACCTGTTCTAAGGAGCGTATGTGAAAACCAATGAGTCGTCCGTACCTGCTCATAACGTTTTTGAATATTAAAAAAAAAACAGTTGGCTTTCTCCTGTGAGTACTTATTTCATACCAGCAGATCGTCATATAGATACCGAGTAGTTGCTACCCCAGGCCCCTGCTAATTACGTTGGGGCTCTTTTCCGTTTCAGCTCATGAACTGGAAGCTGAGTTCAATCGGGCACCACCCGAGCGCCGAGCAGTACCTCGTGTTCCATCGGTTCGGCAACGTGAGTACCGGCCCGCCCCCAGTACCGGTACCGAGTACCGGTACCGGTACCGGCTCGGTGTGCTGTCGGTGTTGTGAGACGGAATGGTTGTCCGGTCAGAGCGCCCGGCCGGTGTAATGTATTTCACACCAACCGCTGGTACCTCTCCTTCGGCCCGTCCGTCCCATATCACGTATATCCTTCTTGCTACGACTATTGTTCCAATGGATGCTGCTAAAGGAAGGTAGCGGTGATTAATGTCTATCTTGTGCGTCACAGTGCACCAATTCTCGGCGACGTTTACGTCAGTGCTATTTTTGTTAGTGGCCTGACCTGCACACTCTGTCGCTCGCTCTGGGCGGTGCTGTCCGACTCCCGAGCGTCTGTTCTGGCTGTATGCCGTACCGTCAGTACTACAGTGTCGTACCCACGACAGTTCGCCACTGAAAGCTGCAGAGCGAGTCCGAGTGACAAATAACTCGGCTCTGCACCGGATCTGTCCAATGCTGCCGCCTTTACCTGACCAGTGGATGCCGGCTTTGTGGCTTCAAAAAAGATGGCTTCGTGGAGTTCCCGGAGCTTTACCGTCTGTGCTGAATGATCATTATCTAACCCCTCAGCTGCTGATAGGCTGAGCTTTCGGGCCTTACAGGCGCCTGGTGCCAGTCTGGTCATTAATGCTGTGGCTGTCAAATGCCAAATCGAGCTCAGTAATGATTCGTCCTGCCTATTAACTCGTACTAACAAGCCGTCGTTCGTCTCTCAGTGATCCTAGTTATAACGTAAATAACGCTGCTGGCATTCGTGCTTGTGAACATTCATTGTTGTGTGGAGCGTATTCATTGCCAGTTTTCCTTGTGAAGAACATTGTTTTACTCTATGGCCTAGTTGTAACAAGCTCAAAAATAAGTTAGTTTAGGCAAATATTTTGTCTGTCTTTCTTACCATTCAAAACGTTGAAGTTTTTATCCTAGTTTTCTGAATGCCGGAGCTTGCGAGACCCAAGCTTAATCGTTTAACTTTGAAGTCACAATGGTCTCGTCCAAATGATCAGTGTGTGTGTGTGTGACAGCGTTCCATTCCGCCCAAACCTTTCTCCTCGCCATGATCCATTGTGGATCCATATCCTCTGCCTGCCTGCCTGCCTGCTCTGAGTGCCGGCGCCACTGACTCGCCGACTGTCGCTGAGTGCTCTGTTGATGTTGTCTGGCCGTGCTCTGATGATGTACTTCACACTGCGTCACCGGTCTGCCTCGCCACGACGCGCTCTCTGCTGTGACCAACTTCTATACGGGCACCGCTGCTTGAACTGTGGCTGACGAATGTTGCGCTCTGACACGGTTCGCTCGCTCGCGTCACGGATTGTGTGCCCGTCCTTACCACCATCCTGGGAATCCTAGGGGACGAGGGGGAACGCAATTTTGACTTGCAAGGACGGCAAGACTGACTTGCTGACTTGATTGAGGGGGACCTAATTTCAGACTTAAGCAGTGATGACACTTTTAGCTCGACCAAGACTACCCCAGACTGGGAGGCACCTGATCTGTGAGGCTGAGAGATCTGACCCTACCTAGACCCGGATGGACTTACATAGACTGGACAATAATTTGTTTATTAGGCTGTAGGATATAGCCTTTGACTGAAGAGACATAACATCGAACTGGGAAGAGCTCAACTTTAGACCATGTGGGATTTTACCGCAGGCCAAGAGGCTTTTATTCTGACTGGCTGAATCAGAATAGAAAGTCTTCCGTCATGGAGAGATCGCGGTTACTCTGGTCCTAGAGACGATATACTGTGCCTTAATTAAACAGCCGGAGACGGGAGTAGTCCTCTGACCTGGGACCCCGACCCTCCTTGTGCTATGCCTCTGGCTTCGCTGACCGCTCGTCGCTGACTGCTCCTCGCTGACCGTCGGATCACACTTCTGCGGTGTGACCCGACCTGACCTGACTGACCGCTTTGCCGCTGACCTGGCCCGGCTCTGACGGGGCTGCTCTGACCTCTGGGTCGCCGCTCTGACCTCTGTATACCGCTGACCTGCGCCCTGGGTCGCTGACCGGCGCCGGCCGTTGCGCGCACTGACCGGCCGTTGTCTGTCTGTCTGTTGCCGGTCGCCGACAGTCGCTGGAGGAGGTAATGTATATCGCCAGACCGCCGGCGCCGCCCCGGCCGCCGCTCGCTGCTGCTGTGCATGGCTTTGTGTGATACGCTGCTGCCTGTGTTGCGCCGGGCGCTGGTCCGCCGGCGCCCGCAGCCGTAGCTGTTAGTCCGCCTTAGCTGTGTAGTTGCCGCAGCTTACAGAACGGCACAACATGTGGGGATGGAGTGGTTACAGGTAGTCCGTCGGAACAGCAGCACGACATCCCCACCCTCGGTACAGTCCCACGAGCCACGGTGGGTAGACACTACATAGACACAGGAGACTGGCGATGGATGAGACGTGTGCAGCTCTCCGTACAAACCCCTGGGCGATGAGATTATGCCAACGATTTGCTACACGGGAGCATGCGAACTCCACGGTAACATGGAAAAGATGCACCGGAGTTAATGACATGAATTATCGGTTCCCAACATTGCCACGGAGACGAACATGTGCACGGGGACCTACGACCACACTATACACGGCACGGCACGGGAGCCGTGCAGCTACCTACATTGTACAGTGGGTGCACGGTACTTAAACGGGTACACGTTACATACACGGGTACCAAGTGGTCCTTCTTGGGACACAGTATGATGGCTTTTCGGGGCGGGGCCGATCGGGTTGGTGATTTTTATACGAGATTACCGAATCTTTGAACTCAGGCTCTAAAGCTCGCTCAATAAGGTTTTCAAACTATTTGCGAATAAGCATCTGATTTCTGTTACCTATCCATATTGGCGTTGAAATTACCCCAAATTACCTTGCCCCGAAAGGCCACCCATTAGATATACCCATGACATGGTACATATATTAGTTGGGCGTAGTACGATGCACGAGACATCTGGTGGTTCGTGTACATAGTGAAGGGTGTCGTAGGTGTAGTGGTACACTTTGTTACTAAGCAGAGTAGATCACGTCCCATAACGTCTGAGAGCCGACACCGGACAGTATACGGTACGGATGCACCGAGACACGGGCTCACGTAGATCACGGCTGGCGACGCTGGCTGCTGAATCGGTGGGATGTATCGCACTCGAGGTAAGCGTGTAGAGGTTTTTCATCAGTGAACGGCCATGAAGAGCAAGGCTCGTGATTTTTGTAGACGTACTCTAGTATCCCCCCCCCCGCCCTTTTCAATCATTTGGTGTTTTTACAGCATACCGCATTTGCCGGTAGTTAGACGCGTTTCGTGTTGTGTCAGCCGTTAAAAACATAACTTCGACTGTCCTGTTTCAATTGATTCGTATAACATCGAATAGACACTAAATGAGTTGTTTTAAAGATAGTGAATCAATGGCTTACCAGAGGCCTTCTTAAAATTAGCAGTCTGGTTGCGTTAGCGACCAACAACCGTGTATTTTTCCGGTATTCTGCCTGTGTTCTGTGTGTGCTCTGTCCGTGCCGTGTGTGCTCCGTCGGTGCTCCGCGCGCTCTGACCGTGCTCCGTGCCCTGTGCTCTGTGCTCCCGTGCTCCGGCAGCAATTGGACGGTGATATGGACGCCAGCACGCGGGAGAAGCTCATCAAGGACTTCCAGGACCGGCTCAAGAGCAAAATCAACCCCCGCAACCTGCAGCGCTACGTGCAGTGTTTCCTCGAGTGAGTAACGACCGGCGGCGCAGCCTGGGACGGAATCTGCACAAAGACAGGGATTGCTGGTTGTAACAGGGCTGTGTCGAGAGCTCTAGAACTTCACTCATTGTAAAACAATAGTCATCGGACCCCACTATGTAGCGTATTGTTCTGCGCTTGGAAACAAAGTTCAACGAAACAAAACTTTTTGTACCAAATATTGATAAATGAAATCGCTATCTCCGTCACGCCCCTCCTACTAGAGACTGACCTGATCGGTATGCTTCTTAATGTCGATACGAGCCTGGCCGACCATTTCGGTCCAGGTATGACCTATTCAGTGCGGTCCCTGCAGTTCAGTTCAGTTCAGCTCAGCTCAGCCTTGAACTGAGTCCGCTGCCACCGGCGGCCGCGGCCCCGACCGGCGATTCGTAGCGACATTGATCCTCGGCCGCCGGGCCGGGCCGCGGCGGCTACCCACGGGCGCCCGGCCGGGGAGAGGGGGGGGGGGGGCGCTCGATCGGCGCGGACCGTGGGCGGGAGGGAGAGAGAGGGAAGAGAGACGGGTGACGGGATTGTGGTGGAACGGGAGGGAGGAAAGAGAGGAGAGGACCGAGTGAAGAGATTACATAGGAACAGATTTGCCTCATATTTACGCCGGCCCACGTTCCGTTCACTGACGTCGCTCGCTGTCCTGCGTTCTCCCAGCCGGACAGACATCTCGATGCAGGTGGCCGACCTGAAGATGGAGACGCTGCTGGTGACGGGCGCCAAGGCCTCCCACAACCACACCGTGCACACGATGCACTCTCACATGAACAAGGCCAAGTCGTCGCTGATCACGCTGGAGGGCGTCGGCGACGTGCTTATCGAGGCGGTGAGTGGACCGGCGGCGACTGGTCGAGTCCCGTGTCAGACCGGACTGGGGCGAGAGCCGATACCGGCGATCAGTCCTTCTTATGTTCGTCTGTTTTACCTGTTTTATCTATTCTACCTTTACTATATGGTATATGACCCCCTGAGTGCCTGCTGCGCCGTCCTCTGCTGTTCAGAGGCGCTGACCAATGTGCGCGCCCTCTGTTGACAGCCGGAGAAGTTCTGCAGCTCGATGCTGCTCTTCTGTAAGGGCTTGGGCATGCTGACCTCTGTGAACGCCCGCGCGCGCACCCTCTCCAGCGGCAGCGGCAGCGGCGGCGGCGGCCGCAACCGTTCCATGAGCATGGAGGACTACGACAAGCCCAACGCGCGCCGCCTCTCGGTCACCAAGTCCTAAACACGTGAGTCCGCCGCTTCGCTGCGCTGCGCCCAACGCGGATGAAGTGCCAGTGCTCCGCCTGTTCTGCTGTTCTAGAACGTAAGAGTTAAGACATCAATGGTCCATATTTCTCGTTTCTTTCGCCCAGCAGTCTAGCTCAATGGTTCTGAATGCTATTGTTATTTGTAGTTCGCATTCGTTTTGGGCTTCGCTTAGGTAAAAAATTGTCAACAGTTGTTTTTTAAGCAATGTTATACTTCAGTGTAGCTCGACACGAATACGATTCACAATCATCTACCTGAGAAGCATTAGAACTTACATTTGTCAATACCTACGTTAGTTGTTACCTCTCCGTTTCAGCTGCTGCAATTCGTATCGGAGACTTGGTATCACCAGAAGAGCGAGAGAGGGACGGAGAGAGAGAGAGGAAGAGAGCAAGTTACGGGAGCGGCTGCGTCATACCGAGCGACTGAGTGCGCGACAGAGTGCGGGAGTGTCGGGGAGAGTGCCCAGTGTGTGAGTGCGGACGGGGGAGTGCCAGCCGGGACCGCAGAGACCCACACCGTAGCCTCAGACGACCACGGCCGGTCGTGCCCACTGTAGATATAATCTGATCCGCCGCGGCGCCCGCCATAGGCTCGGGCGCCGCGCGGGCGCTGCCCTATTGCGATCTTGCTAGGCTAAGGAGCGAGTGCGGCCGGGGCGAGCGGGGTCGGTCGGCGCGCGTCCGGCCAGGCCGCCGCAGTCTGCAGACAGCTCAAAGCGTACAATCGGACGGCGGCCGGCCGGCGCGCCGCACAGCGACCGGCACCGGCCCGAATACACGCAGTGGCCCCGGACACCGTGTTTGCTTTGGAGGGGAGGACCGGAACTGGTTATGTAGGAGAGGAATATCGGACGCTGCACAATAGGCGGGCGGCCGCATTTAGCGCGACAAAAATCATTTTGGTGACCTCCGACAACAATATACAACAACGATGCGTTTAAACTAAGAAATGTCTGGGGCATTCAAAAATACCAAAATAAGCTTGCTGGCATAATGCCATCAACCCTAAATTGAGCGAAACTTTCGACGATGTTTACCATCCATCACATGGTGGTCAATCTGCTATGCTCAATGCGCTGTGTTCGTTGCTTTATCAAACAGAAACTACGTGACGATAAGCCTATTTTCTGAAGTTTTTCGATGAACAAGGACATAGTTAACGCAGAGACAGGTATTTCACCTCCCACAACTCCTCTGCACAATATCTACATGCATTTTTGTGAGACGCTGCGAACAAGGCTTCAGAAAATCAAACTTTTATTTTCGAGGAACCCTAAAGTTATAATTTCCGCCGATTTCCGCGACATAGTTCTGCTTTTTAGTTAAAATGAGTGTTTATCTACAAGTTGCGATAAAATGTAGCTGCTATTACCCGCGATCTTCAGAATTATAACCCTTTTTGTACGACACGTATATGCCCGGGCGCACCGAGGCACGCGGCCGGCCGGGCGCCTGGGTGATATGAGGCATGTCGCTGACCCCACACGTGGGCTTATTCCGGGTCGCTGATTGGCTCGTTGGTTGACATGTCACGTGACACAGCTGACAGTGTTGTTACCGGTAGCAATAAAATCGATTTTTATTCAACTAGATTGGTACGGACTGACTTGTCCCTCAACCCTCGCCCGTATAGGGGCGGGGTCGAACGGACCCACCCCCCTCGGTTTTTCACGAATAACTCGCGTAAAAATCGGCTGATCGCAACGAAACTTTCAGTACCCTCGCGTTAATCAATTTTACACCAACCCTTGAAATTTCATGACCCTGACCCTAACGATCTTCGACCCGTGACCTACTTTTCGAGACCGTGTTTGGCCGGAATCGCGATTCGGCGTATGTCGGCTCGCATTAGCCGCGCGTTTGCAGTCTTTTCGTGGTTTCAAGCGTTCAAACATAGGATGTGATGTTGCTCCCATGCATTAGGGTGGGTGTCAAGGTCGCCGGAAGGTTAGGTCAGGTTATTGACCCTTGATGACCTCGGTTCACTTTTTCGAGTTTTACATGTTTCTAGACTAGTTTTGGAGCTGAAATCGAATTTAGCAACCATTTGAACATTTACGAAGTAGTTTTGGTGCCTTCGTAACATGTTACGAAGCTGTCAGAGGCGGTTGCCACCTACTAAGAATATCCGGCAAAAGCCTCACTGGTTGACCTGACCCGACCTGGCCTAAATGCATGAAAACATTATCTATGATCATAACTAACATGATATTCGTGATCAGCACCCCGAAAAAACATCAGCCACCCTTTACGACGTTCTAACAGGTCCGCGATTTTCCCGACTTTTGTATCACTGACCTGACCTGGAAGGTCACCCGATGACCTAGGGTCCTGGGACCTTAAAATTGGGTATCATCGACTTCCTCTCGTCACGGACAACACGCTCGTTTTTTTTCCGCGAAGCACGTCCAACTCCCCCCCCCCCCCCCCCCTATATGTACGTTCGCGGCTGTCAAAACACCAATACGGGCGAGGGTTAAAGCAATAATATTTTAAATATTTCGCATTTCATTCCTGCACGGTTGATAATGTATAAGATGTGCTTTGGCGACCTCATAGTATTTTCATTGAATATTGCACCACGGGGCTGCTATGGCAAGCATAAAATAAATGTACTTCATGTGTCCTGGAAACATTTTAATCAACATCTAAGGACTTTTCACCTTAACATTATTCGCTCTCAAGCACCCAGAGGCTCCGACAGGCGAAACTGTATTTTTGTCGCGCTAAATGCGGCCGCCCGCCCATTGTGCGCTGTTGGGATGGAAGTGACGGACAGGGTGATTGTTTGAGGGAGCACTGGGGTTACGATGTTTGTGAGAAGAGCAGTGGTAACGGAACAGGGGTCAAACCGTAGGGGTCAGAAACGGTCACATAGAGCACGGAACCATAAGACAACAAAGGATGAGGCATCTCGAACACTAGCCATCGTTCTGTCATCCGTATCTTCTGCGTCCCGCATGGAGACGGCGGCTATTAGTGTTATTAGTTCCTTCCGCGGCCAACAAATATATCCGAACACGGACGTCGGGCGCATGCTGTGCCGCAAGATCCAGTTCTACGGCCGCTAGATGCCACTGGCAGTTGCGCCTGATCCATGCTGTGCCGCAGCACACCATAGTTTATCCTACATCCGCTAGATGTCATTGGCAGTTGTGCCTGATCCATGCTGTGCCGCAAGACACTTAGTCAATTCTACGGCCGCTAGATGTCACGGGTAGTTGCGCCTGATCCATGCTGTGTCGCAATACATAATAGTCAATTCTACGGCCGCTAGATGTCACGGGCAGTTGCGCCTGATCCATGCTGTGCCGCAGGACACTGTGATCTATTCTACGGCCGTTAGATGTCACTGGCAGTTGCGCCTGATCCATGCTGTGCCGCAAGACACAGGTCAGTTCTACAGCCGCTAGATGTCACTGGCAGTTGCGCCTGATCCATGCTGTGCCGCAGGACACTATGGTTTATTTTACAGCCGCTAGATGTCAACTGGCAGTTGCGGCTGATCCATACTGTGCCGCAGTACACCATAGTTTATCCTACATCCGCTAGATGTCATTGGCAGTTGTGCCTGATCTATGCTGTGCCGCAAGACACTTAGTCAATTCTACGGCCGCTAGATTAGATGTCACGGGTAGTTGCGCCTGATCCATGCTGTGCCGCAATACATAATAGTCAATTCTACGGCCGCTAGATGTCACGGGCAGTTGCGCCTGATCCATGCTGTGCCGCAAGACACAGGTCAGTTCTACAGCCGCTAGATGTCACTGGCAGTTGCGCCTGATCCATGCTGTGCCGCGGGACACCATGGTTCACTTTACGGCCGCTAGATGTCTGGCGATCACCGCCTGATCCATGCTGTGCCGGAGGACACCATTGTTTATTTTCCCAGCACTGGTAGTAGAGACGAGATCCAAAAGGCAGTGTATTCCAACAACACGAGTCTAATGATCGGCACATGTATACGAGATGGGCGGGAGACAGCCACCTCCAACCCTCTCAAAACGTCGCTCTACATCGCACGGCCCACACAGAGGGCCCGGCCAGCTGGACTAATTCCCTCACTCAATGGAACGGGAGGCTGGGCGAGCTCGGCAGCGCCAGTGAGCTGTGAGCTGTAACACTGAGCTGTGATAAGTCCAGGTAGCTCCAATGAGCTGCGGTCAGCTCAGCTGTGAGCTGTGGTGAGCTAAAGTACATCCACTGAGCTCTGGCGACCTGTTGGTTCAGATGGAGCTGGACGATTCTGTGACACCAGGCGCCGTCTCGGATCACTGGAACGGGTAGCCGAGGGCGTCCAGGTTCTGGTCGAGCAGCCTCAGAGAGGTCTCCCGCAGCTTCCCCAGCAGGTTCTGCAGCTCCGGCTGGCTGAACTCCTGTGGAACAGCAGACCACACGATCACATCGGTGACTATTTCACTAGCACTTGGTACTTGAAAGGACAAATAGATAATCATTCCGATTCTAATTTTATAAGCATTCATGAAGTTTTGTGCGTTAAATAAGTGTTTTTGGTACATCATTCACTGACAAAAAATGCCACTCTTTCTTTAGATTCAAAGATTGAATAGGTCGGCACGGGCGCGATTCGGACGGCGAAGTGCGCGGTAAATCACCCACCCCGGGCCCACCCCGGCCCTGCTCTGTCAGCCCCCACTACTGAGTACTGACTGACCTTGTAGAGCTGGTACTCGTCTCCGGCCACCAGGTCGGCCAGCCGGGCGGCCTCCGGCAGCCGGCCGCTCTCGGTTAGCACCGTGTGCAGCACACACACCGTCTGCGGCACGTACAGGCGCCGCAGCTGGGCCAGCTCGCGCTGCCGCTGCGGCTCGCCGGCACCCTCCGGCGCGGCGGCCGTGTGCGGCGCGGCGCGGTCGGCCATCCAGCCGCCGTCCGGGAAGAGCAGCACGTTGTACAGCCGCTCGGCGGTGGCGGCGGTGGCGGCCGTGTGGGCCGCGCGCCACCGCTCCAGCGCCGTCTCGTACTGTTTGAGACGCTGCTCGTGCGCCACCGTCTCGGCGAAGGAGGCGGCCGGCCGCAGCTCTGGCCGGCGCGGCCGCTGGCTGTAGAACTGGTCCGACCAGTCCTGGTACGCGTCCTGGCCCAGCTGCGAACGGGGGGACGTCTCAGTACAGCCGCATCCACCGCAAACACACATCAGAGGCCGCACATCACCTCTAATCACTGGCGTTGATAATGGGTAGGTATCGCATAGCAAAGCGAAAGTTCATCGCAATCAAAGAATTAGGTGAGAATCGAGAGGTCAGTTTTGATATAAAACTCGAACAGCTATCAGTGTAACAGCCAAAGATACTCCCGGGGGCCCCGCTGGCACCCTACCATGAACGCCTTGACGCAGAGGTGCTCCTTGACCACATTGTCCTGCTCTGGCGGCAGCTCTGTCTCTCCAGTCGTCTCCTTCCAGCGGGCCAGCAGCACGGCGATACTGTCGTCCGGGATCTGTGAGAGACAACAGGGGTCAGACCCAAAGACAGCCACCCAGCACGCGGCCAGCAGCACGGCGATACTGCCACCAGGGACCTGAGGGAGACAAACAGGGGTCAGCCGACATAAGGAAAACGACCGAACAAAGGCGTCAGACGCATAGGCGTGCAACCACCAGCCACGCAGTCAGTCCACGATCAAGGATCTTATGGAGCTGCTGAAACGGCAAAAGGAAAATTAGTTTGACATTAGATTCAACTGTGATAGTTCCCAAAATATATCTTAAGCAGGGGGGCTCCCCTCTCACCAGCTGCATGAGCTCCCTGGCGGCGGGCAGTTTCCACCCCTCCCCTCCTCTCTCCCCTCTCCCCTGCTCTCACCAGCTGCATGAGTTCCCTGGCGGCGGTCAGTTTCCACCCCTCCCCTCCTCTCTCCCCTCTCCCCTGCTCTCACCAGCTGCATGAGTTCCCTGGCGGCGGTCAGTTTCCACCCCTCCCCTCCTCTCTCCCCTGCCCTGCTCTCAGCCTCTCACCAGCTGCATGAGCTCCCTGGCGGCGGGCAGTTTCCACCCCTCCCCTCCTCTCTCCCCTGCCCTGCTCTCAGCCTCTCACCAGCTGCATGAGCCCCCTGGCGGCGGGCAGTTTCCACCCCTCCCCTCCTCTCTCCCCTGCCCTGCTCTCAGCCTCTCACCAGCTGCATGAGCCCCCTGGCGGCGGGCAGTTTCCACCCCTCCCCTCCTCTCTCCCCCGCCCTGCTCTCACCAGCTGCATGAGCCCCCTGGCGGCGGGCAGTTTCCACCCCTCCCCTCCTCTCTCCCCTGCCCTGCTCTCACCAGCTGCATGAGCTCCCTGGTGGCGGGCAGTTTCCACCCCTCCCCTCCTCTCTCCCCTCTCCCCTGCTCTCACCAGCTGCATCAGCTCCCTGGCGGCGGGCAGTTTCCACCCCTCCCCTCCTCTCTCCCCCGCCCTGCTCTCACCAGCTGCATGAGCTCCCTGGCGGCGGGCAGTTTCCATCCCTCCCCTCCTCTCTCCCCTCTCCCCTGCTCTCACCAGCTGCATGAGCTCCCTGGCGGCGGGCAGTTTCCTGGCCAGCAACAGCCGCCGACAGATGGCGTTGCCCTCGCGCAGGGCGTCCAGCCGCTGGGCCGGCTCGAAGAGCAGCCACTGGATGGCGCCGGCGGCGCGCCGGTCGTCCTCGCTGGTCTCGGCCGACAGCTCGGCGGCCGGCTCGGCGGGCAGGCGCGCGGCGCGAACCACGGCCAGCGCGGCGGCCGGCGCGTCCAGGCCGGCCTCCTCTGCCAGCCGCAGGGTGCGCAGCCGGTCGGCCGGCGCCCGGGCCGACTCCATGAGCGCGGCGCACCACTCTGTCTGCAGCGGCGGCGGCAGCAGCGCCGTGTACCAGACGGCCAGCGGCGCCTCCTGCCGCGACACCAGGCGCTGCGGCCGACGGCGGGACAGGCGGTCAGAAACAGGCTGGCAGGGGAAATTCGTAAAAGGTCCAGAGCGCAAGATACGACCCCGGTCAGAGAACGACAAGGGATTACAATCTAGTTGGCACAGAAAAACAGAAAGCATTTCGAAATTCGGCCCGTATGAGGGCCCCGTTTCCCAACCTTCCACGATCGCAACCCACTCACCTTGACGTAAGCCTCTAGTACGGTGACGCAGTGGTCGTGGTCGACCTCTGTGGACCCGTACTGGCGTACCAGCAGCACGATGTGCGCCAGCGAGCGCAGCAGCTGGTCGTTACCCCCGTCCTCCTGAGCGGGGCAAGAGGGCGGTCAGTCATGGAGGAAGATAAGCGACAAGTATCGTAATCGATCGTAAAACTTGATCGTAAAACTTTCGGCATAGAACCGAAAATTCGAAAAAAAAATCTCTAAACACGGACATTCTAACGATAAACAGCTAAATGAACCACAGTAAATCGATTATCTGATTTATGGTGATGCGTTGTAACCAAAAGCTTTCAGTTCCTAAAAGGCCAACATCGTACGATAACTATAAGTTCATCCTCTCGATCTCGATAACTATAAGTTCCCTTCCATTACGGAGTCAGTGTAACTAACCTTGCAGAAGGCGGCCATTTTGGCGCACATGGTGGCCTCGTCGCCGAGAATGGCGCACTGCTGGATGGCGTTATAGAGCCGCACGGCCTCGTCTGTGCGGCCCGAGGAGTTCTCCAGAGCGTCCACCTCCGAGAAAATGGCGTCCGGCGAACGGCTGAAAGGTACACAGGCAGTCACTGCAGAATCAGGTATCTCAAACAGCATGAGAGTCCTTGACAAAGCGCCTGACGACTGAACACCGACACACAAAATGCAAGATACAACGCCCTGCAATGACCTGCTGTTGCAGCGCAGTTCCCAGTGGGTAATTACACTGTGACCATCCCGTCTAGTGCGGGGAGACTGCCACCGGGCTGGCGTCCTGAGTTCTGTGTGGGAGCACCATACGACTGACCTCTTCTCGGTGTAGTGCTGGGGCAGCGGCCGGAGCTGCCTTAGCGACTGACTGTTCTCCCGCACATCGGCCTCCACGCGCGAGTCGACAAACACCTATAAACAAACACCAGTCAGTGATTACAAATACCTGTCCACAAACACCGGACAGAGGACAGTGTAGCAAACACCTGTCAGTAAACATCAGTCAGTGACTACAAATACCTGTCAACAAACACTGGACAGAGGTGTAACAAACAGTTGTCAGCAAACACAGGACAGATTAAATAGCAAACACCTGTCAATAAATACCAGTCAAAAGTGTCATCAGCACAATGGCCAACACAAATACCAGTAATTAGACACTAATACAGGGTGTCCCAAAAGTAAGGTCATCATTTGTTTTGGCCACACTGCCAAAAATACGCGATGGATAGATATAAATAGGACATCATATGAAAGAGCATTTTATAAAATTTTATTCTGACATACATATGAGTCAATACATTGGCTTGTAGCCCCACATTTGCTGCTTTTCTACATGGCCACCATTTCGGGCCGCGTGCAAGAATAGACTACGTTTGACTTCCTCCACTATTCTGGAGCGATTCTCTGGTGAGATGCCGCCTATGTTTGCTCGAAGGGATCATCCTTTAGTTCTTCCCGACTTGTTGGGTTGTCCTAAAAGACAATCTTTCTGTTGTGTATCCAGAGAATAAAAATATGAAGGTGTAACGTCAGGTGACCGCGGAGGCCATTCAATGGCGTTGCCCTGACTGAAAATTACGGGATCTCACATCCACTCTCGGAGACAATGCATGACCTTCAGGACGGTGCAAGCATAGTCTCCATCCTGCTGAAACCACTGCTGGCTGATGGTGTCGGCACAGCTGCGTTGTGACGAGCGAAAGAACCACTGGGAGGACTCTGGGCCACCTCTCTTGATTGTCACCCGATTCCCGCTGTCGTCCTCAGGACCTCGAAGCACAGGTGGCTAAGTATACATGCCCTGTGCGTACATTATACCTTTTTTCTGACGTTTTACCGGTTGAGTCGAAACTATGCATGAGTTCAGAGATAGGGCGAGCTGATAGGGTCTGCTTAGGGCCGAAAACTGGGCGGTATTTACCCTTTGTTTTAATGACGGACCCTCTCTAAGAGTTGAATTTCGACCTTCTCAGTTTCATGCCTACTGCTCGGTGTAGTTATGATCAAAAATGGTTTAAGCATGCAAGAAAATAATTTTATGGATGTACCTTGCACGTGTGAAAATTGGAAGTGATTCGGACTCTTACTTCTCGAGATATTTAAGTTTTAAATCATGACCTTACTTTTGGGACACCCGGTAGGCAGATATTACAAGCTCTGCTCGACAACTCGCCCCGTCCCGGCTGCGGCCACGAAGAGGTTGGGATGGGCGTGTCTCGAAGAGGGCCCAGACGCGGTCTCTGAGCCACTGACCTTGAAGAAGGCCCAGACGCGGTCTCTGAGACACTGACCTTGAAGAAGGCCCAGACGCGGTCTCTGAGACACTGACCTTGAAGAAGGCCCAGACGCGGCGCCGAGACACTGACCTTGAAGAAGGCCCAGACGCGGTCTCTGAGCCACTGACCTTGAAGAAGGCCCAGACGCGGTCTCTGAGACACTGACCTTGAAGAAGGCCCAGACGCGGCGCCGAGACACTGACCTTGAAGAAGGCCCAGACGCGGTCTCTGAGCCACTGACCTTGAAGAAGGCCCAGACGCGGTCTCTGAGCCACTGACCTTGAAGAAGGCCCAGACGCGGTCCTCCCAAGTGCTGCAGACGGGCAGCAGGGCGTCCAGGTTGCCGCAGAGCGCGCCGTACACGGCCCGCTCGTGCTCGTCGTAGGAGACGTCCTCCGACAGCTGCCACGCCGTCAGCTTCCACAGGTCCCTGAACGGAGCCGGGGGAGCGGGAGTCAGGGACACGGTCCACGGCCGCTGGATCGGGGTCCCAAGTGCCCCACAGTGTCGGCCGGCTCCAGCGGCGCCCTGTGCTCTCACCTGAGCGGGTTCCCCTGGACGGGCCGCGGCTCACTGGCCGGGTCCTCGTAGTTGGGGTCGTGCGCCAGCTTCCAGCCCTCCAGAGTGGCGGCGCGCCACGGCTGACCCACGCGCAGACACAGCTCCTGCGCCTTGGACATCTGCCCGGAGCGCAGCAGCACGAACATGTAGCGCAGCAGGCGCCGCTCGTCGTCCTGCAGAGCGGCAGAGGAGGCGGAGCGTCGGCAAAAGAGACTAAGCAACAGACACTGCAGTCGCACAGATACTCCGAGCAGTTAAACACCCAGAGAAAGGTCACTCAGAACAATTACACACAGAAGGATGGAGTTTGGGACAAGTTAACCAACCGCTGGTCCTGACTTTACAGGGACTGGGGCACTGGTTAGAAAAGACTGAAATACCCTGCTTGGGACCTATCGGGAGCCATAATGCTTTAAAAACACCTGACCGGTGTCAGCCAGGGATCACAGTGGTTAGTGGTTACCTGGTCGAGGTCGTGCAGCGGCTGCCTGTCGCGCACCGGTCCGTCCGGGTCCATGCTGCGGCTCTGGCCGCGCGCCGTCCGCCCGTCGGCCGCCTGCAGCGCGTGCAGCGTGTTCTCCCAGGCCACGGCCGTGTTGCCGAAAAACTCCACCTTGTCCATGTACCCGCTGACGATGTCGTCGGCGGCGCAGTGTTCCAGCCAATCCACCACCAGCTGGGCCTGTCCAGCAGGGACCGGTCAGTGGACGGAGACTGAACAGCTGGGCCTGTCCAGCAGGGACCGGTCAGTGGACGGAGACTGAACAGCTGGGCCTGATCAGCAGGGACCAGTCAGTGGACGGAGACTGAACAGCTGGGCCTGTCCAGCAGACCGGTCAGTGGACGGAGACTGAACAGCTGGGCCTGATCAGCAGCGACCGGTCAGTGGACGGAGACTGAACAGCTGGGCCTGATCAGCAGACCGGTCAGTGAACGGAGACTGAACAGCTGGGCCTGTCCAGCAGACCGGTCAGTGGACGGAGACTGAACAGCTGGGCCTGTCCAGCAGACCGGTCAGTGGACGGAGACTGAACAGCTGGGCCTGATCAGCAGCGACCGGTCAGTGGACGGAGACTGAACAGCTGGGCCTGATCAGCAGACCGGTCAGTGAACGGAGACTGAACAGCTGGGCCTGATCAGCAGCGACCGGTCAGTGGACGGAGACTGAACAGCTGGGCCTGATCAGCAGCGACCGGTCAGTGGACGGAGACTGAACAGCTGGGCCTGATCAGCAGCGACCGGTCAGTGGACGGAGACTGAACAGCTGGGCCTGATCAGCAGCGACCGGTCAGTGGACGGAGACTGAACAGCTGGGCCTGATCAGCAGCGACCGGTCAGTGGACGGAGACTGAACAGCTGGGCCTGATCAGCAGACCGGTCAGTGAACGGAGACTGAACAGCTGGGCCTGATCAGCAGGGACCGGTCAGTGGACGGAGACTGAACAGCTGGGCCTGATCAGCAGGGACCGGTCAGTGGACGGAGACTGAACAGCTGGGCCTGATCAGCAGGGACCGGTCAGTGGACGGAGACTGAACAGCTGGGCCTGATCAGCAGGGACCGGTCAGTGAACGGAGACTGAACACAGGTCAGTTAGCGGAGACGGACGTGTCACGGTTGTCAGTGGTTACGGTACGGTGTACGTCAGTGAGTTCGGCGTAGACATACCTACTGGCTAAGTCAGTGGTAGGGTAGCTGCCTCACTGGGACCAGACCACTGGTGAGAGTGAAAAACTTCCCGCACCAACCCTCACGGCGCTGTTCCAGTAGAGATCTGTCCCCCCTCTCCCCCCTCTCAGACTCCCGTTTTCAATATCCCCCGTTCATTTCTTTTCACCGTCCCTGTGTCCGAGTACGCACCTGGCGGACGTCGGTCTGGCACTTGAACAGGTCCTCGGCCAGCCTCTGGTCGGAGCGCGGCCGGCCGACGCCCTCCAGCAGCAGGGCGCCGGGCTCCTCCGAGGTGACCAGCAGCCGGTCGCGGTACAGCGACACCAGCAGCCGCCACGTGTTCCGCTCCTTCGACAGCTGGCTGTGCAGCTGGCGGCGGACAGGGAACGGTCAGTGCAGCTGATCAGACGGGAGCGGCGGGAAAAAAGAGTCGGTGTAGCCGAGCTGATGAATATATACCCAGACATTTATTAACTGTATGGCTCTCATCATGCTGTCTAATGGCGGCAAGCGGACAAGTTTCTCACCTGTCGTGTGGCTGTGAGGTGAGTGGCGCCCGATCAGGTATGGGTTTCTCACCTGTCGTGTTGCGGTGAGGTGGGTGGCGCCCCGCTGGGCGGGCACCCTCCTGACCAGCTGCGCCAGCCGCTCGACCTGCTGCTCGGTCAGCTGCTGGTAGTCGGCCAGCAGGTCCAGCAGCTGGTGCTCGGACGGACGCTGCCGGTAGGCCGACAGAAACTCCTCCGAGAGGCCCGACACCGCTGGGGACGGGGGCGGGCGCACCACGGTCAGCGGACACCGACGATCTGCCGCCGGACGCGGCTGGTCTCTGCCTGGATGAGCCGGAATCGCCGCCGACACCGTATAGTGCGTCAGCAGTAAGTACAGAGCACACAGGGGCAGTCATCGGTCCAGACCAGATAGACCGTGCTGAGCTCCGTTCACTCCTGTTCACACACACGGACACACACGCTAAGACAGTCTTCCCAAGTACGAACACCAGCTACAGAGTCTCTGTGACACGCCGTGCTCCTGACACACATAATTCCGCACCGCAGCGCCTGACACTAAGGGAGGTTCCTCTCAGGCGCCGGCTGGACGGCTCGGCTGTCGGACGCACCTTTATCGCCCGGGTCCTCCTCGGTGAGCATGGTGAGCTCGGGCTCCTCCAATATGGACTCCTCCAGAGCGGTCATCTCACCGGGTAAAATACCTGGGGGGAGGGGCAGGGCCGGCGACATTGTGTCAGAGGGCCAACACCACCAGCAACAACAGTGGACGCAGCACATTGGTCGCAAAACTTCGATTGTTTGAATAACGTCACCCGGAGCTAACTAGCATACAACCCTTAATGTTCGATTTCCCAAATATTTTGGAAAAATACATGCAGACTTCTAACGAAAATACTTTTTTCAAAAATGTTTTTTTATCAAATGCTGCGTAAATATGCCAAGCAAATAACGCCTGCCGTGAAGTCTAATCGGGCTGCCCGTCCGCAGGTAGCGCAGTAGAGTTCAAATGACGATCGGTGTGAATGGTAGAGCGGCGATAGACGCGCCCGGCGCCGGGCGGCTGCGCTGATCAGTCACTCACTGCGTCTGCCGCCGACCATTGTGTAGCTGGTGAGGTCCATGGTGAGGTCATCCAGCCGCCCGCTGCGCCGCGACAACACTGAAACGGCCGTGGATTCGTCAGACACAACACACTCGTCGGAAAACAAACTGCGACAGCCAGCACTGCAACGGGAACAGCCCTGTCTAGCACAACACAATTTATCAGACAACAGACTGGCGGAATGTCAGAGGACAAACTAAGACAGAACATCACACAACAGAATGACGGTACCCACAGTGAGCCATGTGGTGCGTGCAGGGGAGGCCGGCCACTCACCGGAGCGTCGGTCCGGCTGCCGGGGCCGGCCCTGCAGGGAACCGGACGGGCTCTGCAGGGCATCGTCCAGCCGCTGCAGCGAACGCTCAAAGATGTCCGAGTGACGGCTCTGCTGCCGCCGAGGCTGAGGGGTGTCCATGACTGTCCGGGAGAAATGATTAATAAACACTCACAAGAACTCTGCTGCTAGATTGACCAGCGTGCCGACCAAATTCGGTGACATGATTTTCACAAAAAATCTGCCGTCGCCCTGCGAGTAAAATTCAGCTGCCACCTGCCACCATGCACTGAATTTGGCGCATGCAAAGTTATGCCGGACGTGCGCCAAAATTTTTGGTGCAATCCTGCCACTATGCCAGACATATTCGGCATAACATGTATTTTTCCCAGTCTGGCATGAAGCATCTGATATAATGCTATCAGTATCATGTCACTGCGGCCCGCGTCTTCGTCAGAAGTACAGGGACAATTGAAAAAACAAAAACAATTGACAGAATTCCTTGCTAATGTAGCTTAAGCTTCAACGTCATCAATTCACCCATGAGTCATTTTTTTAATTGTGCTCAAATAAGCACCTAAAAACTAATAAGCACAGCACTGAGCACTGACCGCACTGACATGGCAGGAAACCAGGAGCTTCTCAACCTGTTTTGTTTAAAGCAAGGAACTGGTCTTCAGAATGTGTGATGGGTAATACTTTCATAAAATGTAAAATACTCACATGTAATCAACAGTAATACAAAATTTCAAACTAAACCGGGTGTTTGGCATCAAGAGATCCTTGGGTACCCATACCCACCCATACCCAAGTGTTATTTGTGTTCAACTACCTGGGACAAGTGATAAGTTGCCTAGCAATTTGAAAACTTATTTCGTTCATTTGCTTTTTACAGGAGAAAAATTCAAATAAGCTAAAAATTGCGTGTACAATACACTTCAGAAAAATATGTTTTCTTTAAAAAATATCTTCATTTTTCTTTGTGAACGAAATAATTATGAATTTAATTAAAGAGCAGCATAGGCAAAAACTTTCTGAACAAAAGTTTATGCCTTTGCTACGCAATAAATGTAAAAAATGCGTCCTTTCAAATTGTGTTCAGTTTAGAAACAATACTGATGCTAGCGCTTTTAGAATGAAATTTCGACGAATCAAAAAAGAGAACTTGCCCTAGCTAGCTTTATGATCCCAAACGAGCTATTGTGATGTATTAAACAGAACATATTTAAGGGTTCAAGATTCATTGGATGTGGGATCCGCGTAGGATCCCTCAGGATCCTATGATACGATCGAGATTGACGTTGTGAAGAGTGTACGTAATTTTTTGCTTGCGTATAACTTAACTCAACTGTCAAGTAAGTTGAAGTGGACATGATGATTTGGGATCTTTTGTTTATTTATTGTCATGCCCTGCTATTTGACGTGCTTGGTTCTGGCCTCTGGGGAACGAATATGAGGAAATAAATATTTGATCTGCTTCTCATTCTGGATCCTTAAGAATCATAGCTTGAGACATGTGCTCGGCAGGTTTTATGCTGCTGCTCACGTTATAAACAAACGTCATGGTCGTCAGCTACTGGTGGATCCAAGGGAGGTTGCTGGTATATTTAGGCCCCTTGCACTTTGCAGGGCGGTGTTTCATGGGACGCTGCTACCACGCTGCTATCAAATTGCGCGAGCTGACGTCACACTTGCGGTAGTGTTGGAGCAATGGGCCTGTTGATGTTTCCATGGAAACCCAATTTGACACGTGTAAAAGCAGCTTGCTGCTATCACCGGAGAAACAGGGCCCAGTGCTCACAGTTAATGGAATTTCAGTTTTTTTCTGGCATAGAAAGAAGCTTTTTTGCATTTTTGCATTGCTTCATAGGAGACATTTGTATGTGAAATCCTGGGATTTTTTAATCAAGCTTGGGGAGTGGTGCTGTTTCCTATTCGACCACAGACTCTAGAATCTTTCCTGGATCGACCAGTGGTCCCAGGACAGAAAAGCCGAGGGGGAAGGGAACCCACTCTATAAGTGTGAGTGTTTATAAATCATTTCTCAGTGGAAATATTATGTTTATGTTTACTAAATGTATGATGATAAATAACCCTGAAGCTGCCCTGGAATATGTACAGTTTTTTAGCAGTAGGTAGTGCCATTGCTTGATATTTTCCAGGTTCTCTTATTAAAAGAGTGTTGGTTGGATTTCCTCGACACTTACAGGGAGAATCAGTTGATACCTAATGGCTGCATCCGATCTATGGAGTGTGGCGTGTTCTCTGCGCGTGCCACCGCTGCACCTGCCCGAGGACCGCCCATACACTGCGTCCGACTTCAGCAGGGACCGGGCAGCCAGCGCGGCCAGCCTCCGGCGGCTGGCGGCGCAGCTGCGGCTCCCGCCGGCCGCGCCGTCGCCGCCGGCCGTGCTGGCCGAGACGCTGCTGGTGGTGGCCGAACGCCGGCGACCCGAGCTGCCCTGGAGCTCGCCCGAGGAGGCGGCGGCGGCGGCCGAGCTGAGCGCCGCGCTGCTGGCCGCCGACTCGCCGGCCGAGCTGCTGGCGGCGCCGGCCGGTGAGCTGGCCGTGCGCCGGCTGGCCGAGCAGCTGACGCCGGCCGAGTGGCGCCGCCGGCCGGCCGCCGCCGCCTGCCTGCCGTGGCTGCTGGAGCTGCTGGACGGGCCGGCGGCGGCGGCGCGGCTGGCCGCCCTGCTGCCGCCCGTTCTGTTGCTCGCCGACGACTGGGAGGCGCGCCACCAGCGGCTGGCCGCCGGCTGCCTGCGCCGGCTGCTGGAGCTGGTGCCGCGCGCCACGCTGCGCCAGTACGGCCGCGCCGAGGTGATGTGCGCCGCGCTGGAGCGGCTCTGCGCCGGCCGGCAGCCGCAGGTGGCCGCCGAGGCGTACCCGGCGCTGCTGCTGGCGCTCACGGCCGCCCAGGAGCCGGGCGGGGACGACACGCCGCTGGTGGGCGCTGCCCGCCTCCACCGGCTCACCAAACAGCTGCTGTACTCGCTGTCGACCGAGGGTCAGCCGGCGCTGCGGCGACTGCTGCTGGCCCAGCTGGAGCCGCTGCTGGCCCGGCTCGGGCTGGAGGCCGTGGTGTGGCTCAGACTCGGCCTGGAGGTGCTCACCTCCCTGGTGGAGTCGTCTGTGGGCGGCGACTGGACGCTGCTGGAGGGTGTGCTGCGCGCCGTCCGCCGGCTGGCCGCCGACGCGCGGCCCCGGCTGGCCGCCCACCAGCCGGCGCTGGCCTTCCTTCTCTGCCGAGTGGCTTACGACCTGGCGGCGCCGGATGACGAGTCGCCGCCGGCGCCGCTGCGGGCCCTCCTGGTCTCTGTGATGGCGGAGTGCCGCGCGGCGCCCGGCTGCGACGGCCTTCCGCGGCTCTGTGACGGTCTGACGGCCGCCGAACACCAGCTGCCGGAGGAATTCGCGGCGATACTGGGAGACGCCTGGGGTACCGACCGGGCCGCCGACCAGGCCAGGTGCGGCACGACGCAACGCCGGTCGGTTTTTACCGAGCCCGAGTGACGTGTTAAGATAGTTTTGAGTGATGTGACTTTTGTCAGTTGCGTCAAAATTCCCTGAAATATGTTGTTACTTGAATAAGGCGTAATAAACTATTCACGAAACTCAACATTGTTTCATTCGAAAATCGGTACGAATTTATCACTTAAATGAGAACTATGCTTATTTAGATTCATCGTTTTGCTTCACATACGAACGAGTGTTCCATGGCCCCACCTCTGACACTAACCGGTGTCCCGTTCTATCCGTTCCAGTCCGCAGTCAGCGGAATCCAGTGACGGCAAACTGTCGGCGCCCACACCAGATGAGGATGGAGGAGCTCAGTCCGACCGCTGAGCGGCTGGTGTCTGAGTTTGTGCGCACCACGCGCCGCCAGGGCGCCGTGCCCAGCCGCCAGGTGGCCGACCGCACCCTGGAGCTGCTGCGACAGCTGGTCTCCGAGCCCGGCTGGCGGCAGACGGCGCAGCTGGTGGGGCAGCTGCGCGCCGCCGGACGGCAGCTGGCCGCCGAGCTGCCCACTCAGCCGGCCGTCGGCACGCTGGTCTGTCGGCTGCTGAAAATGGCGCGGGAGGAGCACGGCGCGCACGACGAGGTGCACGAGGCGCGTCCGCACGGCGCGCCGCCCAGCCAGGTGGACTCGCTGCACCGGCGTCTGACGGCCGGCCGGGGCGCGGCGCCGGCCGCCGACCTCAGCTCCGAGCTGACCGGACTGCGCGCCAACCTGCTGGCCGGCCTGGACGAGCTGCAGACCGAGCTGGACGCCAGCGCCGACAACATCGCGCGCGAGGCGCTCAGCCACATTCACGCCGACGACGTGGTGCTGACCGCCGGCCGGTCGGCCACCGTGCTGGCCTTCCTGCGGCGCGCCGCGCGCGAGCGCGCCTTCCACGTGCTGGTGGTGGAGGGCGCGCCGTTCGGCGGCGGCCACCGCGCGGCCGCCGAGCTGGCCGCCCTGCCGCGGCGCGTGCACGTCACCGTGATCGCCGAGTCGGCGCTGTTCGCCATGATGGCGCGCGTCAACAAGGTGATTTTGGGCGTGCACACGGTGCTGGCCGACGGCGGCCTGCGCGCGCCGGTGGGCACCCAGGCGCTGGCGCTGGCCGCCCGGTTCCACTCGGTTCCGGTGATTGTGTGCGCGCCCTCGTACAAGCTGTCGCCGCAGTTCCACCGCGGCGACCAGCAGGAGGGCTTCCTGGAGTCGGTGTCGCCGGAGTCGGTGCTGCCGTACGCGGACGGCGCGCTGGTGGGCCGCGCGCGCCTCACCTGCCCCCTGTTCGACTACGTGCCGCCAGAGCTGGTCACCCTGTTTGTGACACACACCGGCGGCACCTCGCCCTGGTACGTGTACCGGCTGCTCAACGAGTACTACGACCAGCAGGACCACGAGATCGTGCAGGTCTGAGACCAGCAGGACCACGAGATCGTGCAGGTGTGAGACCAGCCGGACAGCGAGGGCGTGCAGGGACGGGGTGACGGTGCGGTTCTGAAGCCAGCATTTCGGCGAGATCGTGCAGGTCGGAGATAACCACGTCGTGCAGGACAGGGACATCGCGCAGGTCTGAGACCAGCCAGTTTCAACGAGATCGTACGGGTGCAAAACCGGGATCGGGCAGGTCGGAGACTGGCAGGTCATCTTGATCGATGTGGTCGGAGTTTGACAAAGCCTGGAGACCGTGCGAGTGCGATTGGCCGGCCCGTCGGTGGTGGTGACGGGTGGATAGTCACTGTGTCAAGGAGATTTACGTGCCTAACATAGCCAGCTATTGACAGGTTCCATCTGATTTGGTGTCGTGATCATCTGTCGGGGACAGATGTGTGTCGCAGGCGTTTCCGGCGCTGGCCGGCTAAACTGGTGCAGGGTGGGTCTGTGGGTGTTGGCACATTGCCAGTCCAGCGCTGCACGCTGTCCGGCTCTGGATGTGTCGCCCGACTGGGCAGAGTTCGCGCTGTGCCTGCACGGCGGCAGATGGGTGGGCGATATCACACCGGTGACTGGTGACACAGCTCTGGTGCAAGTAAGCTGGCAGATGATTGCACAGTTTCAAGGAACTGTAAGTTTGTTACGTTTTCCTCGGTGTTTTGTAAAGGGCTCCAAATTTAAGATCTTCCGTGCTGTGAACCAACAATTTCGTGCTACTCTTGTTCATGTAGATAAAGCGGTTACCAGCATGATAAACGGACGCTAATTGCCCGACTTTTTGTGTTTTGGCTGGCTATATCTTGAATCGGTCGCAACGCCATGCAGAATATCCCATATGGGTAAATGGCCCGGGCCGTCATCTGCCAGTGCAGTGCCATATCTGGCAGCTGGGGCGCACCTGCCCGTTATCCATTTGCTTGCGCTATCGTTTAGATACTTTTGCGCCTATTTTGATTTTTTAGAATTTCACCATAGGGTGATCATAGGCGCAGCGGTTTGGGCGCAGCCTAGGAAGACGACTGCGAGATCGGTTGCAGTGTCAATATACCCTGGGTTGCAGTATTTTGATGACGTACGTCATTAAATTGGGCCTGTGACGTCATAGTCCCAAGTTCAGCTACTCCCCTTCGAAAATTAGCAGATATAAAAAAGATGATCGTCGCACTTGCGCCAAATATCCCGCTTTTGTGTTTGTATTGTATTTGTGTGAGGAGGTCAAGGGACAACTAGGGACTTTTTTGGCATTTTTAAGCTTTTAGCGTAAGCTGTTTATTGATATTTTTTATTTTCATTTCGTTCATGAGTTAAGTGGTTTTTCTTTGTCATTCTACCACGTCATACCATCGCTGTAATTTCCCAACTTGATTTCGATCTCCCATCACCATGGCATGCCTGGCTATCTTGATCTGTAAGAATCTTGGGCATGCCAATGCTGAGTAGTGTGGTAATCTGGAGACTGGAGTGTATTTATTCATTAGTATTTCGAAGTGTATTGGTATTTAATATTATGAATTTGTCTTTCTGTGTCCCAGTGGATAAGGCATGTATCTTGAAGCTCAGCCATAGACCGCAGAATGGGGCCGGTAACGGGGCACTGTACCCCTTTTGATTTTGGCATTTTAACATAAACCCTATTGGCATTTCATGGAAAGAATGGGGCCAAGAGTTGGCAGTGCCTCCCTTGATTGAAGGTGTTCTGCTGCCACTGAGCTCAGTGGTGGCAAGTAGGTATGTTGATGTGGGTGTGAAGCTCTGCATCATTTGATCTGTATTTGTGTATTCAGCCAGTGGGTAGTGGGCACCTGGGCCCCCGGCCCAATCATACCAAATGCCTTAAATGCGCATTCACAGCATTTGATGACATTTAGAACTATCCAACATTCATTTATGCATTCGTTCGGGCAACATTCATAATCATTCAATTTCACACTATCAAAATCATAGAACAAGATTAGCTGGATGTAAATAAAGAGGATATTTTTTTATATCAGTGCCGTTAACTCCTGCCAGTGCTGCCAAATCCTATTATCAGCATTGGTAACTGGGCCCTGGTGAGATAGGTCTATGTAAGACCTGGGTGGACTATGCTGCCATCTGCCTGCAATACACTAAACTTTTGATTTAAAGTACCTACCTATCACAGTTGCTTTGTGTGGCACCCTGGCCCCTGGGCCCTACGCCACCCATTCTTCTTTTTGGACTAGTTTCTAAATATGAGAAAGTTCATGTATGTACTCTGGTACCTATATGGTAACCATTCTATGTTTTGTAATGTTCAGGATAAAGATGTGGATTCTGAAAGCATCTCATTCAAACTGATGATGATCTCATTTTTGTTTTTTTGCAGATTCTGGTGAGGTTCAGTGATTTGGACAGACATTCTGATTAAGTCAATTCATGACATCAGAGAGAAGACACCTGCTTAGGATGAACTCTGCCTCCAACAGTGGTTTCAAACACTCTTATTGTTTTATCAGTTCCACTAGGTGATGAAAACTGTGCTATGAACTAGCAGCACAAATAAAACAAAAACAACATTAGAGGGGCTTGTCCAGTGTCACCTCACCCTGAACAAACACACCAAAGCCAGTGATGGAGGACGCTGTGGAGTCAGAGGTGCTGTGCAGCTTCTTTGCCAGCCACGGCCAGCTGCTGGCCGGGATCGCGTGGGGCGCGCTGGGCCGCGCTGAGACGCTGCTGGAGAGCGTGCTGCTGCTGCTGCAGCTCTGCCTGCTGCGCCCAGAGATGGTCGGCGTGGCCGTGGCCATCGGCTTCCTCACGCTGCTCATCAACGACCGCTCGTTCGCGGCGCTGGTGAGCATCTGGCGCGCGGTGGCGGCGCGCGTGCCGCTGCCGGGCGCGCGCCGCGTCACAGACATGGCGGCCGCGCTGTGCGGTGAGACGCCGCCGGCCGAGTGGCGCGGACGGCGCGCCACCGCCTTCGCCATCCAGGGCCTGCGCGCCAAGATGGAGGACCGGTTCGCGGCCGAGGAGGAGATGGCGCTGGGCCCGTCGGGCCGCGCCGTGTCCGTGTACGCCGTGTATGACGGACACGGCGGAGACGTGAGTTACCGGGGATCGCAGGGGACGATAACCCCCACAGCACCCCTCACCTATCTCCCGTAGCTTACCGACGGTGGCTCTTACCATGTTCCCGTTCTCTGTGATATTTTATTTATGTTGTGAGAATGCTCGAATCATTTGTTTCTTATTCCTTGCCTTGTGCTGATGCTAGTGTGCTCCAGTTCATCTACTGCTCAGAATATTGTTGTACGATTTTTTTTTAATGAATGTCTAACCTTTTCCTGTGATGTTTTTACCTCATGGATGATGGGCACTGACAGCAGCTGATGTTTGCTGTTGCAGTTTGCTGCCGAGTACACTAAGGACCACCTGATCACGGCGCTCAAGGTCAAACTGCTGGAGCTGCACGCGCAGCGCGCTCCCGCGGCCGAGCCGTCGGAGCCCGCCGAGCCGGCCGGCCCGTCCGGCCTGCTGGCGGCGCCGGCCCCGCTGCACCCGGTGGCCTCGGCGCCAGGTGACCTCAGCGGCGAGCCTCCGAGCCCGGACGGGCCGCCGCCGCCGCCGCTCATCACGGTGGAGCCGCCGGCGGAGTCGTCTGAGCGGCCGAGCGCGGCGCCGGCGCGCTGCCACGAGGCGTACCAGCGGCCGCGCGCGCCGCGCCGCGCCGAGTCAGCGCGCGGCGGCCTGCAGGGCGACATGCTGGTCAACTTCCTGGGCGAGATCAACTACACGCGAGTGCTGCAGGAGGTGTTCAGTGAGGTGGACGACCGACTGCTGGACGCCGCGCGGCGCGAGGCCAACATCGCCGGTCAGTGGGCACTGGGGAGGGCACGCGACTGCAGAGCAAGGGTAACCCAGTCCTTGCCTCGTTCATGCTACTATTTTCCATCAATCAGAGGCTGCATGGGCTGTTGCGATGCTGTATTTTACATTCACACAATGTTCCGTCAGGTACCACGGCGGTGGTGGCGCTCGTGGACGGCGACCAGGTGGTGGTGGCCAGCTGCGGCGACTCACGAGCCGTGCTCTGTGACGCGCGCGGCAACGCCGTGCCGCTCACCACCGACCATAAGCCCGACCAGGTACCTATATTGTAACCATTGAGCGACAATCTACCGAGTACCGACTGAATCGGCCATGGTGGGCCTGTGTGAGGGGACAGGGGCCTCTGCGGCCCAACTCGGCCCGGGGCTGTGGCTATTGGCTAGTCCCTGCATTGTGCAGCAGTGGACAGGGATTTAAGCTGCGGAGTCACCATGACATGTTCACTTTTGGTGTCCGATAATCCTGTGCTTTTCTGCTTTGTTGTAACGTTTACCATCTCATGGCCACGTTCCTCTCGACACAATGTCCCTTGACGTGTCTCTCAGGTGCATCTTGCTGTACCTCGCTGCAATATCTCCTGGCAGGATGTCGTCGTCCTGCGATGTCTCATTTCGTGTGTCTTTCATGACATGTCTCAGCTCCAGCAGCTATCCTGCCATGTCTGGTGTTCCTGTCTTGGCTCCTCTCCTCTCTTATCATTACTCTCGGTCTCGACCTGTCATGTCTCCCGTTCTGTATCCCCTCAGTCATGTCGCCTCTGACGTCCAGCGACCAGCTCCCTTATCTCCCCTGACATGTCTCCTTACGGTATCTCTCCTGACATATCTTCCGTTGCGTATCTCCCCTACTATCTCTCTTATGACGTTCCTCTCTTATCTTTCGCTGGCGTATCTCCGCTGCCCTGTCTCTGACGTCACCCTGCGATATCTCTCGCTGACGTATCTCCCTGCCTCTCACCAGCTGGCAGAGAAGAAGCGGATCACGGAGGCGGGCGGTTTCGTGACGTTTAACGGCGTGTGGCGCGTGAACGGAATCCTGGCGACGAGCCGGGCGCTGGGCGACCTGCCGTTCAAGGAGCGCCGTCTGCTGACCTGCCGGCCCGACGTGAGCACGGTCAGCGTGCGCCACCACGCGGCGCCGTTCCTGCTGCTGGCCTCGGACGGACTCTGGGACGCCGCCACCGGCCAGCAGGCCGTCCAGCACATCCGCGACCGGCTGCACGAGCCGGACCTGGGCGCGCGCAGCCTGGCGCTGCTGGCCTACCAGCGCGGCTCGCTGGATAACATCACCGTGATGGTGGTGGACCTGCGGCCCGGCCAGCTGGGCCGCAGCGGCAGCTTCCGCCGCCAGCCGGCCAGCTAGGCGGCCCGTCCGCAGCTCTCACCGCCCGGCGGGAGGGCGGTATCTAGTCAGTCAGTCGCCTGTGTTAGCGGCGGAGGCGGCCGTGTGAGGGCGGGCGGGGAGGCTCCGCCGGCCGTGCTGTGGGTCTGTTGTTGACCGGCCGGGAAGGACAGAGGGCAGTCGACTCCTCCACTGCGCACGCCCTGCACAGTTGCAGCGAGGCGTGCGCTGCGCCTGGCGCGCTACGAACGTTAGCGTGTGACATGTGACTGAAGGCTGACTCTCTGCGCACTGACAGTTCTGCTTATGTTTACGCGTATGACGTATGACTAAAGGCTGGCGTCTCTGCGCACTGGCAGCTCTGCTATGTTTATGCAATCACGCTGTGTTTACCCGATACATTCGGGACTCCCTACCCCAGGCTTTATGTTTATTATGGTCCTTTTACCCACAGTTGATGATGTGTTCCCGGTAGATTACCAGTGATTGTTTCGTTGATTTCCGGTAGCTTTCAGTACCGTTTCCCTCCCGCCGCTCCAGCGGTCGCTGATGATGTTCGTCCCGCTAGACGCGCGCTATTTCCTGCTGGTGCCGCCATCCGCACACAGAATCACTGCGATATGACTGCAACAAAGGCCGACTGCTGTTGGCGCCCGTTGTTACGCCTGTACGCCGACACAGATTTATGAGCTTGTTCGGATTGTTATGTTTGTTGTATTTATCAGATGAATGAATATAGATAAATACAAAATTGTGTAAAAACATCAGCGTTGGCGAGTGTGGGCTGAAACAGGACTACTGACGGCCCCAATGTCGGTTACGTCGGGAAAAACCAAACACATGCACACCACGCTCCAGCAAAACGAACTTTCAGTGAATCCGGAACCCTGTACCTAAAAACTTGGGCAGACTAAGACTAGGGCAGTAACTGGGGCTATTCACAGTACCAACAGTGCCATAAGTACGCAGCCTTCACGGGAAGGACGCGCGAGACTGCCCAGGTCCGTGCATGTCGCGTGTAACACAAACAAACACATGGACATACGGCGTCAGGCGGCCCACAGTGACAGCTGTCGCAGCTCACACAAAGCCAGCTACAACACGAGAGACTGGTGGTGATCAGGGCTCCGTAGCGACTAGGCAATACGTCCAGGGCAGGCCGGCTTGCTGAGTGATCGGTGCAGGACAGCCGATTAGACGGCAGTCTCCGGCCAGATGACTCGACCTAGTTCACTAGTGGTCACCAGCGGTGAACACTCCAACATTCTGGACCAGAGGCCTGCTGCAGCCGCGGCTCACGGCTCGAACAGCTGGCTGAGCAGCAGGTCCAGGTCGGCTGGCTCCTCTAGTTCCGGTGTCGGTGACGGCCCGAGTCCCGGCGAGCCGCTCTGCTGCCGTGGGGGCTCCGCCGCGCGGTGTCCCTGCCCGTGCAGGCTCTCAGGGTCCGGTGAACCAGCCGCGGCCGGCGGCGGCGAGTGCAGCGGGATGTTGGCCAGCTCTCGCGCCACGCTCTCGATGGCTCTGTGTAGTGGGGAGAGCGGAGACGGGCGCCGCTCCGGCACCGGGAACTCGAACAGCTGGCCCAGGTCCAGGTCCAGGTCCGGCGCGGATCCCAGATCCAGATCCGGCGCGGATCCCAGATCCAGGTCCGGCGCGGATCCCAGGCCCAACTCCGATACGGGTCCGATCTGCATCTCAGCGGCGGGTTCCAACTGCATCTCCGCCGGCACTTTGGGAGCCAGCACTGCAGGATGGTTGGGCACATCAACCGACATACCCTCTGGAACGGCGTCATTGCCACGCTGCGTATCGCCCATTTCGGCAGTGACCGTGCTGCCCAGGCCAGCAGCAGCTCCGCCGCCCAGGCAGCCGGCAGACGTAGCGCCGTCCGCCCCAGCTCCGTCCCTGCTGTAGGGTGCGGTGTGGACTGGGCTCCCCTGACAGACAGCTGCCCCGCCGTCCGGGCCGGTGACAGGCGCCGTCTGCCACCCGCCCGGTCCCCGGCTCAGAGCTGGCAGTGCTCCGAGCTCGGCGCCGCTCTGCCGCGCCTCCGGTCTGTCCGGCCCGGCGGCCGGCGGCCGGCCGCTGCTGCGCTCCTGCCGCGCGCGCAGTTTATGGACCAGGCGCCGCAGCAGCACCCGCGATACCTTGGGGCGGTACGGCAGCTGAGCGCCTACCGTGTCTGGCAGCTGTGCGGAGACCACGGCCGGCAGCTGCCCGTTGACAGCACCGGGCAGCTGAGCACCGACACCGCCGGGCAGTTGAGCGCCGGCCGCGTCTGGTAACGGACTGCTCATTGTGTCCGACAATGGGCTGTTGATTGTGTCCGACAAAGGGCTGTTGATTGTGTCAGGCACCTGACTGTCCATTGTGCCTGCCCGCTGATGGTTCACTACATCCGGTATCTGGCTGTTCACTGCGTCTGGCAGATGTCTGCCGACTCTGTCCGGCACTGACGGCTGGGTGCCACTGGACGAGACAGCAGTGAGCCCCGCGCTGCCGGCGGGGGAGCCTGCTATAGGTGCTGACACCGGTTCCACGCCGTCTCCCGATGGACCGGCGATGGCGAGGGGACTCGATGGGCCGGCGGCCGGCGGGGGCTGCTGACCGGAGTCCGACGGACCGGCGCCGTCCCGAACCGGCTCACCCTGGGTGCACTTGTGAGCGCGAAGACTCACCTGAAAGGGCAACAGAATTCAGACGCGCCATTCAGAACGACAAACAAAGGCTAATGCACGCTGTAATAACGCACTTTGGTACAGTAAACTGGGCGTGAATGCAAATGATTTATTCAGTTATTCAGTTCAATCAGTGACAGCTATAAATCGACCGATTTGCAGAACAAATTAACCTAACAAAACACACTTATTTGGCCCGATGATGCACGAAGGTGTGCGTTTTTTATATCAAGCAAACCGAAACGAAAGTTTTAAAACAAAACCATCGACTGACGAATATCAAGGCATTAATTTACTGCTGCTAATGGTTACCTTTCGTCGAATGGGGAGACGTTTCTGTACGCACCTGTACCGCTCCCGGTCGCTCAGCCTCCACACGCGTTCAGCTGCGGTTAAAGGTGGGGAGTGGTTAGCACAAACAAACGGTAACACACACGAATAGACGGGTCCGCTAGGCTGAAACTCCATGCTGTTAGAATTAACGTCAAATCATGACAAAGAAGAGTTGCTGGTAAAGTAGCACTGAAATCCGTTAGATTTAGATGAAGTGAAGTGGTCAGTTACAATGGAAGGCTCAAAATAGGAGTTACACCAGTTGACGATTCACATAACGCAAATTAAATACAGGAAAAAAAATTATCAACAGAAGACAAATCGGCATAAGTATAGAATACCGATAATCCCTACAATGGGAAGAACGAAAAACATTAGAGTTAGGGGAGAAACGACAAAATGATGTTTCAACACACAGCATGCTCTGGGTACGCTGCGACTGAAGGGAACGCACACGGCTGTGCGCTGGGGAAGTGTACGCCACTACTGGGCCAGCTGAAGATACTCTGCCAGCCAGGGCTGTACTCTGCTGCTAACAGGGTCAGGTCTGAGCCATACCTACGACTAATACCGAGCTAACGACAAAGCCTGCATATCTATCTGTTCCCATTGATCGGTGTTTAGTGAAATCCAACGGTCCACTGTCCTGGTCTCCGCAGGGACCAGTATAACACTGTCTCCCGCACACAGCTACGGTGGCAGGTGGTGGAAAGCCGCTCCGCAGCCCGGAGAACATCTCTGGATCTGGGTGGGCCCCCGGACGTGTGCTGCCCGTCCACCCCTCACCTTGTATCTGAACCCGCTGTGGCACAGCTCGCAGGTGTAGGGCAGCGCGCCCGTGTGGATCCGGCGGTGCACCACGTACGTTATGCGCTGACGGAACGACTTCCCTAGGGAGGGGTGCGGGCAGCATCGTCAGTTAGGAAACATCAACATGCCAGGGACATGCGCAAAGACGCACATGTCGGTCAACGCTCAAAACTCGGATAAAATACACACAGTCTGTAACAAACAGCACTTGTACAATTAGACTGGACACAAGAAAAAACACAAAATAACACCGGTTGTGATCCATCTAGGGACCGGATCATATAAATTGTACAACTTGAGTGAAGCCAAACAATTAACCATATATTCACGTACAGTTGCGGAAGACCACGATCCCAGAGCCCGCCCCTGAGGCGGTTCGGTTTCCGCTCAGCCGACTCGCCGTTCGGTGCCCCCCGCCCTCCCGCCCCCCTCTGAGACTCACCACAGGTCTCGCACGTCCACGGCTTCTCCCCGGAGTGGATCCGCATGTGGTTCTGCAGCGTGGCCGACTCGCGGAAGGCGCGGCCGCACTGGGGGCACGTGTAGGGCCGCACGGCCGTGTGGTACTGCTGGTGCTTGTGGTAGGACTGCTGCAGCGAGAAGGCCCGGCCGCACACCTCACACACGTACGGCGTCTCACCTGCCACCGGGAGCGGGGGGAGCGGTCAGGTAACCAGCTGACCAGGCTATTAGCAGGAGCACGGAGCAAACACACGGCGAGAAAAGCGACCTAAAATGTGGACTTTCCTGTGTTAAAAATGTCAAATAGCGAGCCAATGTACGCGCTCGATAAACATTGCGCAATCATAACGAAATTGGCACGAATATTATCCGACCCCTGATAAGGTTTGTAATAACTCATGCTACGCCCACAAAAGTCACTCGACCGATATGCTAAGTCTTACCGGTGTGGAGTTTCATATGCTTCTTGAGAAACTGCGCGGTAGTGAACGTCTTCTTGCAGGTGGGACACTCGTGTGCCGAGCTCTCCTTCGTTTTGTCGTCAGTGGATGGAGCATGATCCTGCAGCAGTGAAAAACGATAAGTCAAGGCTCAATTAGCACCCGAAGATACGACTGCGAAGTCTCCGAATTGCAAAGAATAACGATATTTTATGGTAAATTGGCGTGCAATAATTTCAGCTAAATTACTACAATACCTACAGCTAAAGACAGCTTTAGGTGAGTATCGACTTAACAATTTCCTACTTATGCTACAACTTCATGGCGATATCGTGGCAGAAAACCGGCCAGTGGCGGCGTCCTTACCGTGCCGGTGAGTCCGTGCGCGGCCGCCAGGTGTCTCTGCAGGCGGCGGCCGCTGGTGAAGCGGCGCTGACACACGGCGCACTGCTCGCACGCGCCGTCACCGTGCGCCAGGCGCCGGTGCGCCGCCAGGCCGGGCCGCAGCCGGAACACCCGGCCGCAGTCCTGGCAGGCGTGCGAGGCCTGCAGCAGCCGCCGCAGCCGGCGACTGCCGTCCCCGCGGCGAGCCAGCTGCAGCGCCGGCGGCGACACGGCGCCGCTGGTTCCGGCGGCACCAGGGGACAGGAGACCACTGGTACCGGCGGCACCCGGAGACAGGAGGCCACTGGTACCGGCGGCACCAGGGGACAGGAGGCCTCTGGTACCGGTACCAGGGGACAGGAGACCTCTGGTACCGGCGGCACCAGGGGACAGGAGACCCCTGGTACCGGTACCAGGGGACAGGAGACCTCTGGTACCGGCACCAGGGGACAGGAGACCACCGGCGGCGGCAGTCGGGGGCGGCACGGGTCTGCTGGTGGTGCAGCTCAGAGTGAGATGGAGCCCGCTGGTGACGGTGGTCAGCCGTGAGGATGCTGAAGGTCCGGTGGGGACAGTGAATGGCTGCGGAGGCCCACCGGTATCGTTCATCAGAGCTATGAGTCCGACGGCAGCTGTGATCGGTGGCTGCAGCGGTCCGACGGCAGCTGAGATCGGTGGCTGCAGCGGTCCGACGGCAGCTGTGATCGGTGGCTGCAGCGGTCCGACGGCAGCTGTGATCGGTGGCTGCAGTGACCCGACAGTAGCTGAGATCTGTGACTGCAGCGGTCCGACGGTAGCTGTGGTTGGTGGCTGCAGCGGTCCGACGGCAGCTGTGGTCGGTGGCGGCGGAAGTAAGCTAGTGACGGCGCCGAGTGTCGGACCCAGGCTGCTCCGATCGGCCACGGTGCCCTGCAGACGGCTGGAAGAGCCTGCCGCCTGCGGTGGGCGGCCGGCCGTCACTGACACCGCACCCCTCGGCAGGCCCCCACGCGGATCCGTCGGTACTAGCGACGGAGCCGACCTCAGCGGGCCGCCGGCCGGTGAGCCCTCAGCGGCCGGTTCGGTCTCCGAAGCGTGCTTGGCGCGCATGTGACTGGTGCGGCCGCGGGCCGTTTTGAAGGTTCGGGAGCAGTGCGGACAGGAGAGGGCGGCGGACGGGCTGACAGGCGCCGAGCTCCGGTCCGCGGCAGGCCGGGGAGCGGTATGTAGTGCCGGGGACAGATGCCTGGCCAGGTGCTGCAGGTAGGACGGCAGGTCGGCCAGCTGAGTGCCGCAGATACCACAGCAGGATGGCCCACTGGCCAGCGCCCGCAGAGCGTGCAGTAGCCGCTCTGCAGATGGGAAGCAGCCAGGCTGGTGACACAGGGGGCAGGAAATGCTGCCCTCAGCAGGGGTTGACCACTGCCAGTCCATGAGCGTAAGCAAAGCAAGCAGCTCTCCTGAAAAATGAAAAAAAATGCAATCATTAAAAGGAAACATGTTCATGAAATTTGAGGGAAAAAACAAATACTTGGCAAGAAGGCAAAGTGATTCACATTTTAAGCATAACTCATAAAAAATATTTATTATGCCATATCCTTTAAGCTTATTTTTAGTAAAAACAGAATACACTTAAAGGGACCCTCCCACCTTCAAAAAAGTTTATGAATTGGCATGAAAGTGATGTCGCTCGGTTCAGAAAGAGCGAAAATGAATATCTACCAAATTTCACCGAAAAATATTCACCGGTTTTCAAGATATTAGACTTTTACTTTTGTTTACTTTTTTGGGATCTCCGCTGTTTCTAGCGACTTTATTTTAGAAGTGCGGCGTTTGCGGCAGATGTTGCGCGCAAATATCATATACCACCGCGTGCTACAAAACGTTTTAGTCAAACATTTAAAAATCGTTAGATATTTGCGCTGACGTCACACATTCAGAGGGGTATTCCTAAGCATTAGCCCCTCTGAATCAAAATGCTGCAATTTTGAAATTCAATATTTCCGATTTAAGGCATTTCTCGATGTTGTGAGTGCCGAAACCGGTAATTGTGAGCCAGGGACCCCATTTTGGCTATCTCAACTCAAATCTAATGTTAAGGTGGGAGGGTCCCTTTAACTCGCACCCCGCTGGGGGTTCTGGATTTCCACGCCCTGCTGGGGGGGGGGGGAGGGCTGTTTGAACACCCCCTTCTAACTCAGCTCCTGGCCACTTAGCGATATGTGGGAGGCGGCGTTCGAAACAGCAATAAAATGACAAAATCACTTTGGTTATTTTTTTGGTTATGTCAAAGGTCAGGTTACCAGAGGTCATTGAAGGCAAAATCTAGCCGATGTTCATGTCAAACGTCGACAATTTCCGAGAAGCCAACACATAACTGGGGAACCCATAGAGCTACAGCGCCCCGGAACAGCGCATTTGATAGCCCTAGTAACGCCATTTCTGAGTAATTCTCTCAGATTTGACCTAACGTCAACGGTTTTGCCTGCAGGGGCAAAAACTGCCAAAAAGGCAAATTTTTTAGGAAGCTGTCTTTCTGCAATAACCTTTGACCAAAGCCTTTCACGAGCTTATGTTTACCAACATTGTGTTCCTCTCATCAAGATGCATCGAATTAACTATATCTTGACCTTGAAAGGTCAACTTGAAAATTTGACCTCAGGTCAAGGTCATGACCTGACCGCTCAATTTTGGGTCAAACAACTCCAATCCTGAAACTGTGGCACAACCCCTGCCATCAGCCATGCACACCTTCTAAATCAACATCAACAATAACCAACTGAAACATAAATGTTAGGTTATAATTGCCTGAAAAATAATACAGTAATGGCAGAAGAAAAAAAACGAACTCTTCCTATCATGACTAAAAAACAAAGATTAGTTACGTGTGTAAAAACAAAAGGGAAAACTCAAAAGCATGTGGAAAATGAGCAAAATTTTACTCCAAACTCAAACTGCAAAGTCTCGTGTACGGTACCTAGTCATCATCCTACGACCTACATTATGAATGAAACGATACCATTGAATTTCCATTTAATGTAATAGGAACATATACCTAAGGAAAACAAAAATAATATTCACCTAATTATAACTATCACAATAATAAGTAATAACTCAAACTTGAAACCAACATGCGAATATCGTGTGAGCGTCTGCGAAATACATAATAACTTGTATTTAGGGCCTTGTAATAACTATTGTTGGGTGACATCGCGAAATACATAATAACTTGTATTTAGGGCCTTGTAATAACTATTGTTCAGGGAAGTAACCTGTAAAATGCTCGCCGAAGCCAAGTTTTCTTTCTTGACAAATCAACAGCCAGCACAGGTTGCTGAGCTGCTAGCAAAGAGAACAAGTGTTACTATTGAATGCTTTAAGAATGGCGCCAGCAAATGAAACTTTTTCGCTGTTTATGTCTACTATTTGCTTCCATATCACTGCCATATTGGAATGTTCAAGGATTTTTGGTATCTGCTCAAAAATCCCTGACCGCCGTTGATACGCTTGTCGCGCTTGTCCAAGATTACTTTCGCTTGTCCAAGGCCTTATCATACAAAGGAATCTTGATCATACGTACGCTTGTCACTAGTCTGTAGTCACTACCTCCTGTACCGGTCCGAAGTTGTCCTGACACTGTCAGCGTATATTATAGGTACTTACCTATGTACAACTGGCGTAATTTATCGGCTGCCGACAGCCAGCGGCGGAACACCTTCGGGGGGGGGGGGGGGCTGCCGGCTGCCGACTTTTGGTCCCATTCTTTCCATGCAACGTCCATAGGGCTAATGTTAAAATGCCAAAATCAAAGGGGGCACGGTGCCCCGGTGACCTCGCCTCCCCGTTCCGCCGCCTATGGCTGCCAATGTCGATTTCAGCATCTGCCGGAACAGCTTGAACGGTAGGACCTGGAAGACAGGTAAGCCTGCGATGCGACACTGCCCACGCTTCCCTCCATCAATGTGCATCAGGATCAGACAAACTAACCTCTCTGTTCCCCCTCGGTCCCTAGGTCTCAACCCTGAACTCATTCCATTCCTAGCTCACCCTCCGGAGTGTAGGTATTGGCGACGGTGACATGGTCGTCGGTCAGTGGCTGCCGGCGGACAGGGCTATTTTATAGGCAGCCCGACGGCCGCTGGAGTTGGCCAACTAGCCGCTCGGCCGGACACCCGTGAGCCCATCTACAGCGCCCCGCGGCGACACTTCCCAACTGGAGAGTGGGTCGCCGGTGGCCGGCGAAAATTGGTGGTTAGCTGTGCCGTGCGATACCCGACATGGGAGGATAAATGGTTGGCCACTCCTGTCTGAGGCGACACGGCCCGGTCCAAATTAGATCTCCCGGTCCAGGGCAGCTGGCCGGGCCGACATCACACCTGACAGTTGACACAGACGGGATACCGTAACATGGAACAGACATCATAGCCTAGACGGGACATCATTATCAGTAGTTTCGACTGAACATTTGATAACATAGACGGTGCGCTAACACATTAGAAAAGACCAGACATTAGGGCTGATAATCCCGGGATCGGGATCCCGGGATCCCGGGATTGTATTAATCCCGAATCCCGGGATTAGAAGCATCGGGATTTCGGGATCCCGATATTTTCCGTACAGAAACATCGTTCATAAAGTGTAGCTGATAGTAGGTATGTAAAAAAAGGTAAGTGAGTAACAACGCATTACAGTGCAGTTTTATGTCCAAAGATCTTACTTACGCCGTGCAAAGTCGTTATGCACAAGTATTGGTTACATATATACCTAATTGACATTGTTTCACACCGTCTCAGCATTCACAATGTGGCGAGAGACGAGCTCTCTCTCGGCTCATCTCTCCCTCCCTGCGACGTCCCTCGCTCGCGTACTCGGTTTAACAGATCATTTTGCACGATGACATACTATGCCGACTATCGAATTCGAGTCCATCGAGTGGGAGGAGGTCGGCCGTCTTCTCGTGACTGTGGGAGCACGTCTGGTGGCTCAGTTACTGTCAGTGCCCCGTGGCTGGACGATCCATGAGGCTGGCCGGGCGCCCTGGGCATGGTTACCGGTTACCGTTAGTGAATAATTATTAATTACGTGCCTTTGTGATAAGCTATAGCTAACTTTGCCAAAATATCGGATTTTGCTGAATTTAAAGGCAGTGCGGTGTGGGAACAACTTTTGGGATTAACTTTTCGCAATCTTCTCTGATGATGACGAAGGCCATAAGGAAAGAATTGGAAAATTTACCTATCTCAGGAAGGACAGGCATGGTAGCGCTGTCCTACAACTGACTGAAGGGCATAGTTCCTACGAGTGTTGAATCGGAACGAGTGTTTTCCACTGTCGGGAATATCGTCACAAAAGTGCGGTCGAGTCTTGGCGACGAAGTCGTTGATGCACTTTGCTTCCTCAAGTGCTACTACCGTAACAAGTGAATGTGACCAGGACATGCTGCTGGTCAGACGACCACAATCCGTAGGCACGTCTACTGTATCCTGACTCGAAATATAAACAAGAAATACAATGATCAATGTCATTCATGCTCTTATATTTGTTCGGGGTGAAGGTGTATGCCTGGTATTGTGTTTATGATGGTAAGGATGCGCCATATACATACGATATTGCAAGAAAATTCTGCTTTGTAGACAGGTTAAAATAAAAACTGCTCAATCCCGGGATCCCGGGATATCCCGGGATTGCATTTCTAAAATCCCGGGATCCCGGGATTGCCAAAAAGTCCCGGGATTATCAGCCCTACCAGACATCATAGCAAATACGGGAGATATAGCATACCTACATACACTAGACATCGTACCTAAGTCAGGGTATCACATCATAGACCGAATGTCGGGCAACCTAGAACACACCACAATAGACTGAACAGCATAGCATAGACGAGACATCATAGAGTAGACTGGAAACCATAGCTGAGCATAGACGGGACAGCGTAGCACAGGTCATCGGCACATGCTTTAAGCAAACATAGGTGCCATTTGTAGACGGGGAATCACAACACAAGTGCCGGATATTCTATGGCATAAGACGAAAGGCGAATATTATATGTTAAAACCTTGACAAGGCATCCCAGCATTGGCCGAATAGTCAGATAAATTAATCTGTCGTCCATACCTTTTCTAAATGAACTCGTTTCAAGCCGCTCGGTGTATCGATAGCGCACGGTACAGTCGGTACATAAAATGATCGACGTCGTCGTCACGTTATCTGTGACCTACCCTGACCATCTCGGCCATGCTCTGGCCGGGCGCAGTACCAGACTGGCGCTCGGTGTCGCCGGTCGCGTTATTCAATCACCAGCTGCCCTCTCCTAGCGGTCCCAAGTTAGTTCCCATCAAAGGCGGCGAGCTGCTTCCGTATCACAGCTTGCCGCAGCCATTTCTGCCGGGCACACTCAGCATAACAACATCGACTTTATTGTGTGGATCGAGTCTGAGCGGCTTGGGAATAAGCATGGCACAATTCGTCGCGACCAAACCGATATAGCTCATCCGTCCGAACCCCACAGGAATGCCGAATGACTCTGTGGGCTGCCAGTGTCCGTTTTCACGACGGTTATCTGGCATAGGGGAGAGTGGGGCAAAGCGGCCACCCTAACGTTTCTAACGATGCCGACGTTTGATTTTTAAACTTGGAAAGATTCTTTCTATACCAATGTGATCCCTATTAAATTGTCTTTTATTCCAACTGCATTTCATTTCCAAAGGCGTTCACATATGGGAGATATTGACAAAACTTTAAACCTATAGCATATTTGCCACTTTGCCCCATCCCTGAGGCAAAGCGGCCACTGGCGACTTCTCAAGTCCCCGATGAGAAACAGAATAGTTGCCTCATGCACGACTAGGGTATTTGATGGTGACAAGGTTTAAGGGAAGATGGATGTTTACTTTGTTATCTTCCCACCTATTGCTAAACAAAGAAAGAATTTTCTTGGAAAAACATTTAATTGCATAATTTGGTAACTCATGTAACCGAAAAGTGGCCAAGATGAATGCATGACGACACATTTGAATATAAATAATGTTTTTATCCAGATGGAAACAACTTATGGCCAATTGGGGGCTGGCCACTTTGCCCCGGCCGCTTTGCCCCGCGCATACCGTCCGAGACAAAATATTCCAGCTCAGCTATTAGTGGGGTAAAAAGCATTAAAATTGGTAGAAGGCATGTACGATAACCACGCAATGCATGGACAAAAACGCTTATAAAAATTCCAAACGGTTATGGAATAAAATAACATTTAAAAATTGTAAACATAATTGGTAACCTGGCAAGAAATGCTTTTCCGTGTTTCACAGAACAATGGCGATGGGCCTGAAACCCCGGTCTGGCTCATTCGAACGACCGCAAAGAGAAGTATAATTGGAAATCATAAATTGGAACTGACGCCAGCTGTGGAGGGCTAAAACGATGGATGGCCGCTTTGCCCCGGGTGGCCGCTTTGCCCCACTCTCCCCTACCTACATTTAGTGCAGATTAGGTGCAGATTTTTAATATAAGCGAGCACGCGATTTCATTCGTTGCAGCGTGACCCTGATTTTTTCAGATCTGCATTACGACTCGCTAATTATATGTATCGCAGTGCCAGCCCTCTGTCTTCTGCAATCCCCCTTCTCCCCGTGTCTGGGATCTCTCTCTCTCTCTCTCTCTCTCTCTCTCTCTCTCTCTCTCTCTCTCTCTCTCTCTCTCTCTCTCTCTCTCTCTCTCTCTCTCTCTCTCTCTCTCCGTGGAATCTGTCGGAGAGGGACGGGTCGGTCGTCTCCAGCCAGGCCTGTATTAAATACCCATTTCAGAGAGCCGTCCTCTGAGGCGCGCCGTGGGTCGCGCGGGGCGACACGAGCCGTCCGCTGGGACAGCCGGGACAGCCCGGAATGAGACGAGGCTCGCTTGACTTTGGAAGTCACCAGCGGGCGTAGGTTATCTGCACGGTAGCTGGATGAAAACTGGTTTTCCAAATTAAACCGCACATTAGAAAATTAAACAAGATATTAATCTAAAGTTAGTGACTCATCAAGTAGGTACTTGATAGTTATGCCAATAATGAGGTAATGCTCCTACTGAAAAAGACAAGCCAACTTTGAAAAAGGAGCCAAGCAAAAACAAACCGCCTTTCAGTGCGAATCATCCGAACATTTTCCCATAAATCATTCAGGAGCCTTTTCCTTATTTAAATATTTCGTCCGAT